ACACCTTCAAATTCTGGTTTGTGTTATGCTGTTACTCGTTATGACAAGGATACATGTAATGTTGAGTATGTTAGAGAATATTATACTGATCCAGTATATGCAAATAACGTGGAGAATGATGCTGTTATTGCTCGTGCTCTTCAAGAAGAACTTTCACGGATTGCAGATGCAGAAGCATCTGGGTTAAATGAGGAGGAACAAGAATCAATTATTATGCAGCACTGGTCTCGTCCTCATGAAAGACACCATGGTTCTGGTACTAGGAAATTCTGCAGCTGCTATCTAATTCCTTGGTTATCTGTGATCCCTTATTTCTCATGATCCATTTGATTTTATGTACCATGTGTAGAGCAAAAGAATGATCAGACAGCAGATGGTCAGAACGAAAACGAAATGGACGCTGACGATTGCGGCAAAAATGTGGCAGATGATTCTAGCAAGAAGGATGATATATGGATCCCTACTTCATCTTCTAGCAATGGAGAAAATTCCCATAATATGAACGAGATGGAAATTGTTTTAAATATAGCAAATGAGTCTGCTCTTGATGGTGAAGTGGGCAAGAGGATAACTGAGATGGTTCCTGTTCCAGTAAGTATAACTTCTGCCAAGCTATACCACATTGCATTGAAGATTAAGATAAAATTCCTTCCAGCCTTGAGTGAATGACATCCTTTAAAAGATGACAAATTGAGTATCTAAATTTCTCATCTGTTTTCTGCAGCATGTTCCTAAAACTAATGGAGAAATACCATCAGAAGACGTAGAGATGTCAGATCATCAAAGGCTGCTAGAGAGGTCTTGTATATATTCTCTCCTCCTTCTGTGTTTTTAATTTTATGCAAATTTATCTCCTGGACTATCTCATAAGGTATGAATCCCAAAGTAATCTGTCCTTACATTGTAATGAACTGCTTCAAACTACAAAAGGAGATACAGAATTTGCTGGAAGTGGATTATTAGGTGCCTTCTGGTATAGCTCTCATTGGAGAATCTTGCTGATATCTTTGTTTTTTGATAGATAGATTCATATTATTATCATTTATTAACATTTTGAGGGTTGAGGCTTCAATATTTGAGGCAGAGGGTGTGGATGTTAATATCTTTCATGTTATTCATTCTCCTACAGTATGGGTTTTGAGATTTAGGTTTTTTGCATATTTCTTGTGTGTCTGTCCTTGATGAATATTGTGGTGTTGCCTCTAAATTATTTAGTTGAAGATCGTGCTTTTTGGTTCAAGTCTCAAATATTTTGACTGAAACAACCTTTTTAATTTCAATATTTTGTCTGTTTTAGGTTAAAGGTATATGATCTCGTTGAGAATAAGGTTCAAGGAGATGGTAACTGTCAGGTTGGCACCTTCTTTATTTTAAACATAAAAGGTTGCGCACAAAGCATACCTCTAAAATTCTATTACGTAGTGTTATTAGCTCAAGTTAGGTCTCATTAGTTTATGCTTTTTGCAGTTTCGCTCTTTGTCAGATCAACTCTACCGTTCTCCAGAGCACCACAAATCGGTGAGAGAACGAGTTGTGGATCAGGTTGGTTGGTGTTTAAAAAGTTTACTTCTGTGTACTTATGTTAAGAGTCTTCTTGATCGGTTCTTATACATATAAGCATAAACTGTAATCTTACTCCCCACCATGTTGATTTCATCAGCTTAAGTCTCAGTCGCAAATGTATGAGGGCTATGTTCCTATGGCATATGATGACTATTTGAAGAAAATGAGCAAGTTTGTTTCTTCTCTCAGTATCTGTTTTTTCCCCCAAGGCTTTCATGAAATAGATTCGTGCTCATATTTATATTGTATGTGGCTGAAATTAGGAGTGGTGAATGGGGCGATCATGTCACATTGCAGGCCGCTGCTGATTCGGTATGGGCAGCTATCTTACTTCTGTACATTCCCTCTTCTTTTGTGCTTGTCTTTCTGTTGATCTTGATGTTGCTCATTAACCCTTTCTGGATTATGTCTTTGAGTTTTGAATTTGAAAAGAATCACTGAGAATGATGGATTATTGAAAATATGGATTCAGCTAGTTATTTATGCAACTAAATTCACGTAAAACATCGTTTCCTACTAGTTGAATCGAGTACATAAATCTTTTTTCTTCACCCTGATTTTGTGAGGCCAAATTCTTCATGAGATGACTAGAGATTATTATGTCATTTCTCTTAGCTTTAATTAAGTGAATTGCTTTTATGTTTTTGAGTGATTCTTGCAATAATAAAAATTCTTTTCTTCTCTCGCAGTAACATTTTCTTAATGCATTATGTAGCACGAAAAATCCAAGTAGTGTATCTAATAACATGAAATGTTCATCTTATATTACTTCAATATATATTTTTTTTAATTTTCTTTTATGATCTCATGTTTGCTGTCGGTTGTTTTATTTTAGAGGCTTAAAGCTTATTAACTGATGTCTATGCTTGTTGCCTTGTAATTGCAGTATGGTGTCAAGATATTTGTGTTAACTTCATTCAGGGATACATGTTACCTTGAGATCCTTCCACAGGTTCAAAAGTCCAATCGGGGTAAGATTAGAAAGCTTTACGTTTTGAACTTGTGTGCTGATTAATAGAAATTTTTTACTGAAGAATGCTTCACCATTTGTCTTATATATGGAAATTTTATATGCAAAATTGTTTTTGGTTTATCCATCTCTAACCATTAGTTTTAAAAAAGAAAGATCCATGAAAATGTTGAATGAGGAGATCTGAAATTCACTGCCCTTGCAACTTGTGTTTTATGCAGTTATTTTCTTGAGCTTTTGGGCAGAGGTGCACTACAATTCGATTTATCCAGAAGGAGGTAAACATTTGATCCCGTTTGTCAAAGCAATGAAAATCGTTCTATGATAGTCATCAGTAGGGTTTATCTTTCTCTGGCTTCCAAGTTGCATCTTATGTTGTCTTTGGCTTAATAAAAGCAATTTTGAACAAGATATGAGGAATCTCTTGGCTGAAAAAAAAAACCAAGAAGCTGCCGAATGAAAACATTGTGTGTGAAATCCTATTTGGGGATTAAAGAATACCTATTTGTTGCAAGTCTCTTCATATACCATCATCTATGTTGTCACTCGTCATGAATGTTAGATTTTTATTGGTGGAATGTTTTTTTTTTGTCAATTCTCTTGCCTTCCCAAGTAGCAACTTGCACACAAGAATATATCTTTTCTTAAATTCTTTAGTTCTAGTTGTTTTACTGTTTTTATTCTCCCTCCCTCTCTCTCTCTCTCTCTCTCTCTAATATAGAGCTACCGCTGTTGGAGCCCAAGAAAAAGAAGAAGTGGTGGATAGTTTGAAGCTAGGACCTTCAGCAGCAAACCTAACAAGAAGACGCTTCTGTGCTACATGGAGAGGCTTTTCATTTCACTTTTATTCACGGCCTCAGGGTTTGGCGAATAAAAGAGCAGGGAAGTGCAGAATGCCAGATGCCGTTACTGCTACTACTGCGTCGGTTGTGGCTAATACCTTTGTGCATATTACTTTTTTCAGATTTGACCCCCTTAGTTCCATCTCTTGCGTTGTGTCCTGATCTGTTCATTTTTTCATTCTTTTTCCGGCTGTTCTGATTGTACATAATAGGCAGGGCAACTGAGGGGTTTTTCTCCCTTTGTAGCAGAAGCTGGAGGCACCATTCTGATTCCAGTAGTGTTATTATTGAAGTAAATAGTAGTTGCTGTATTTCTTGCATCCTGTCTACTTTTTGCTTAAAACCAGTAAGATTTGTGTTCTTCAGCTTGTACCTATATTAAAAAAAATTGGGGGAAAAAAATGCTGTTACTTCTTTTAATTTTGACTCAACCCAAAATGGGGGAAAAAAATTAACAGGATATTAAAAAAAATTTGGGCAATAGAAATTAAAGTAAATTAAAAGAAGTAACAGCATTGAATAGCAAAGATAATTTGTGATTTTAGCAATATTCTAATATATTTATCAGGCAATTTTTTTTTCAACTATCATATTTACGAGACAGGATAGCAACACTTGAACAAAACGTATAAAACAGCCGAGAATACATTTAGTATGAAAAAGAACATCTCGCATTTCCCGCATGCATGGAGGGGCAATGTTTTTTTTTTTTTTGAGTTAACAAGTATATATTATTATAAAATAAATAGAAATAATAGAAGAATTGAAGAAAAAGATGATAAAAAAATAAAATCACTATAATGTGAATACAAGTGATGAGAAGTTTTAAAAGTTTCTCATATTCTCTCAGGAAACTCAGTACATCAACTAATGAACAATCAAACTTATTTATAGACTTGAATTGAAGAGAGAATTGGAATAGACGATGAATAATCAATTGTATCACTCTTTCAATTTCTCATATTGAATGATGAATTGAATCATATTAAGAATTATGAGTAGTGAGGATATGAAAATTAGATAAACATGATGATGGACATTCATTATTTCATAATATATATAACTTTTTCATTATTTCATAATATATATAACTTTTTCATGATGATTTTTAATTTGAATGACATAAAATTAATATTTTATAACTAGATTATCACATGCAAAATATTAAAATGATTATAATAAATTATGATTCGAATTTTTATGAAAAAGTTAAAATCTCGACGTATCTTTTATTTTTTTCGATGGGTAATTTCTCCTTTCACAGCAAATGACGTTTTTCAAAAACTGAAAAAGGAAAAGAACACTGGAAATGGAAAAGGAAAATGGTTTTCTTACTGGCCAAACCCTAAATGTTTAAAGGTTTTTCCATTTTTTATTTTACAAAAGGTACACCAAGCTGCAATATATATGTATATCGTGTTTTATAAACGACCAGTCGTCCTAACCAACTAGCTAATTAGAAGCTCTGTCATAAAACCCACAAGAGAACCCAAATCTGCCAAATCTCTCTTTTCCCTTCCAACCACCAACCAAAACCCCTAAAACCCCACACAACCTGAACCTAAATCTCATGTTCTTCGAAAAACCCAACCCTAAAACCCTTACTCTACACTCCTCAAAATCCAATGTTTTCCCTTATAAACCATAAACCCAAGAACCCACCATACACATACACACAAACCAAGAACTATGTAGATGTGTACATGAAATGGAAAAAAGATCAATACTTTGATTCAATAGAGCACATACATAAGTCCATTGAACTTAAACCCATCATTTCTTTGAAAAACGTGATAGCCCAAAACCCCAATGGTTGTATCCCAATCTCTGATGTGTCAAAGAAAGGCTTGCACTTTGATGTGAAAATCAAGGTTGCAAGGTTTTTGAGGCAATACCCATCAATTTTTGAGGAGTTTACGGGTCCTCAGTATAATTTGCCTCGGTTTAGATTGACCGAAGAAGCTGCTGAGATTGATAGAGAAGAGAGAAGGTTGCTTGAGGATTGTAAAGAGGATTTGAGAGAGAGGTTAAAGAAGTTTATTTTGATGAGTAAAGAAAAGGTCTTGCCTTTGAAGGTTATTCAAGGGATGTTATGGTATTTGGGTTTGCCTGAGGATTTCTTGGAGTGTTTGGATAAGAATCTTGATGGGTCCTTTAGGGTAGTGGAGATGGAGGAGAAAGGGTTAAAGGGATTAGCTGTGGAGAGTGATGAAAGGGTTTTGTCTGTTTTGCAAAGAAACGCAATGAAAAAAGGGGTGTATTCTGACGAACCTATGGAGGCAATTGAGTTCCCACTTTTCCCATCAAAGGGTGTAAGGTTAAGGAGGAAGATTGAGGATTGGTTAAAAGAGTTTCAAAAGGTTCCTTATGTGTCCCCATATGAGGATTATTCACATTTGGATCCTAATAGTGATATTGGTGAGAAAAGGGTTGTTGGGTTTCTTCATGAGTTGCTTTGTTTGTTTGTTGAGCATTCTGCAGAAAGGAGGAGACTTTTGTGTCTCAAGAAGTATTTTGGGTTGCCACAGAAGGTTCACAAAGCATTTGAAAGGCATCCCTACATGTTCTGTTTGTCTTTGAGGAATAAAACTTGCATTGCTATCCTTAAGGAGGCTTATTGTGATAAAATGGCCATTGAGGGGCATCCCATGTTGAGAATCAGGAATAAATACATTAACCTGGTAAAGGAATCAGCCGTGATTTTGAGGAAGAGAAGAGTGAACAATCCCTATGTCGAACGTCCAAAATTGGATTTGGATTTGGATGATGCTGATGAAGACGCCGTAGAAATGGGTAGATCGTAATTAATTGATTATTGTACCTGCCATGTTAAAGCGTATGCAAACTTTCTATCGTTGTGTAGCTTTATTTTTCTAATTTTAAAAAGATGAGAAAATCCGATTCCTGTGGAAAAAGATTAGATGGCAATTCACTCGAGAAGGAAGGTTGAAATTCAAAGTGCAACAATCTAAGACTGCCCTCTGAAGCAAAAAGATCAATTATCACGTTTCACCTCTGCTTGTAACATTTACATTTCATTCCTTTTTACAGACCGTACAGATTGCATCTGTACTCCAAGAGTGACTGATTATGCCTCTCCGATGCTCTCTAACCTAAAATTTACCTTTATTCTATGAGCTGAATATACAATCAGATATTGACAGAAACAAAATCATCTTATTCCGAAGGCCTGCTAGTTTTCATGTTTATTTACATATGTTCTTCTCCTCTTTAGAGACCGAAGCTCTGGGATGAAGACTAGCAAAAATCACCTTCCATGTTAGCTGTACAAAATGCATGCTCTTCTTGCTGTTTTATGGCGGCAGAGAAAAAGTGCCTTCCATGTTTCCAGATTAAATCCCATTAGGAGGAGACTGAGGATGACAATCCTATGCGCCTTTCTGCAAATGAGAGAAAAGAATTGTATGTCCACTTAATAAGCAAACAAGGTAAAGATGAGCAACACAATTTTAAAGAGACTGCAAGAATTCCTCACCTCCAGTTGTGATGAGCTTCTCAACACGTGAAACAATATGTTTACCGTAAGTGTACTTCTTCAGGGCACTCAAATGAACCCTAATGCGAGAAAGAATTAACTCTAGACTTTGATCGTTGCAGGTCTCAAGAACCTTCTGTACAACGTAATTTCCAAATGGATCTTTCATCATAGCCTGCAGTTTTGCATCCCAAACAAATTGGTCATCCAATCCAGGCACTGATCGGCGAAAGTAAATAAAGAATCAAACTTGGAAGCCTCAAAACAAACATAGCATCCAGTAATCTTGATGATCATATATATATATATGAAGAGCAAGCATGTTGAGGTTGGATGATCATTCAAGTATTCAATAAACAAAGTTCATACTGCAGAGAACGGAACATTTAGAATACAAAATAGAAAAACTACACAACAATAGAAATATAGATACTAACATGGCAAGGAACAGAAACAATTCGGTGCACAACCAAAAGCAAAATGAAGAAGTGAACCAATCTTGGCCAAAATGCCCTTCTTCTTTAAGATAAATGTTGACCAGTAATTATCAATGATGGCTAATACAAAAACAGCAAATGCATAAAAATAAGGGGAATTAGCTCAAGTTATCCTTATATTTTAGACCAAGTCTCCAATCATCATGATAAGACTAATTGCTCCCAATTTTTTCCATGAATTTAGGTCATTCTCCAATCTACTCTCTTTTAAAAATTTTAGGCTAAATGGTCCAAACTTTCTCTGAATTTTAAGTCATTTGAGAATCAGTCCCTCAATTTCTAATTTTGGGCTGGACCTCCCTTCAATTATTTTTCATTTGAAATTGAACCTTCTATTAGGTTTCCATCAATTCTAACAATGGAGGTGTGCATGACTTGCACATGGTTGATTTTTTAACTTCCCCAAGAGCTAAAATATGCCAAAACTTATGGATACTTTGCTTTTTCCCTCCAAAACTTGTTTCTTTCCTTCTAAAACGTTCTTTAATTGCTTACTTCTTAGCATTTAGGAGGCAAGAAACAAGTTTTAGAGGAAATCGCAAAACATCTATAAGGTTTGGCCTGTTTTTGGCTGTTGAAGTGTTGCACTTACACTTTAGAATTAATGAAAACCTAACAAAAGGACCCAAATTCAAATGAAAAATAGTTGGGAGGCTCAACTTGAAATTGGAAGTTTAGGGACCAGTTCTCAAATGACTTCAAGTTCAGGGGAGGTTTAGACCATTTAGCCAAATTTTTAATCCAAACTGACAAAAATTCCCTCATGTGAGAAACTCAAATCCAACCCGATTGATTAAAAAGTCAAATTTTAATTTTGGATAAAGGCACTTGTGTACTGACCTGCAAGGGCTCATTTTCATCAGTGGAACCAAGCATCTCATTCACCAAAAGTTGGCGCTCCTCAGGGCCACCAAATGTTAAGCACTTTTCCACAACATTAGAAGCAAATTTCTGCTGACTCATCAAAACAATATGTCCTGCAAGCTTGCTAATAATAGCAGATCGTTCTTGCAGCTTACCATGCTCAAGGACATGCTATGCAAAACAAAAGTTTGAAAATCAGGAAACTAATGAAGCAGCACAGTAGCAGATCAGTTAAATAGAACAAGGCAACCCATTTCATGCCAATGATGCAACATAATGCAAAAACAAGATCAACCCATATCTTTAGTCCAAATAGAGAAATCAATATGGATGCAGAGCAGTAGATGTAATAGATGTCAAGGATATTAAGAATTGTAAAATTCAAAACAAGCCACTCAAAACTCCCACTTACATATCAAGGACTTCATTACCAGTCCAGAATGTGGGACCAAGTCCTTAATACTCATTAATACTTTTTGGCACAAAGAGTTGCGCCACTTAATTTCCTTAACTAGTATGCTTGCAATATATCATCTTCTTTCACACAATGAAATTATTTTCCCTGACATTCTCCTATACGTTTTTACATTGTAAGATATTGTTATAGCTGGAAGCTAAGACTAATAGAATAATATCTTAATCAACAAGAAAAATAAATCCCTGTAAATTATAGACAAATTCTGCCTTTAATATCTATCATATTCAACGGATTTTGACAAATAGAAAAGAAAATTTTTGCATTAGCATGTAGGACAAGCTTAACTTGACAGACTCATATCTTAGGTACAAATGACTTCATTTGCCAGTCAATAAATGCATGTTGGATCAGCTGAAAAATTTTCAATACCTGAATGACATAATTTCCATATTGATCTTGTGCCAAAGTGCATACAGACTGCATAATTTCATCCATAATAATTTGCTGAGTATTCATGTTCTTACAATGCTCCAAGACCCTCTGTTGGTGCCAAATTAAAAAAATGACAAGTCAATAATGATAATATATTTCTGTCAAGAAAGTGCATAGAGAGTAATTTCTAACCTGCATGACCCGGCAACCATAAGGGTGGGTGGAAAGGGCCAAAACTTGCCCATAGAAAGCTGAGATGATGAACTGAATTCGATCTTCAGGCACACACTCTATACACTTCTGAATAACATGATTTCCATTCTGATCTCGAATACATTTCATGACGGAGCCATCAAGCTCTGCCACCATTTGAGTCTGTCGATCCACATCAATCATCTCCAATGCCTGTGGTCAGATTTAGCACATTAAGTAATTTGGATGGCCAGAATAAACAAAAAGAGCAATGATATTACTCATAAGGTAAAGCTACAATTCATGCCCTGATCAAACGATTCTTTTTCTTTCCTTGTGATGGATGCATGCAAGAGGTACTAAATCATACTATTAGAATCATGCTTCTACGAAGTGCCCTGGCATTACACCACGCCACATCACACTGATTAATCAAAAAGCCTGGGAGCCAGATATTGCTCAGCAAAGTATGTGTCACCAACAACTATATTTCTCGTAGAAAGCATGCATGCTTCAAGCAGATATGGAATGCCAATTAAAAATCTCAAAGGCATGTGCTGAGAACAAACATGCAAGAGTGGATGTATCACAGACACATGCAAGTGTATTTATGACAGCAAGGGTTTAGAAAAACACCTTCTGGATTACTCTGCATCCATACATTTGAAGACTGAGAGGTAACACATGACCAGTAAGTTGACTGGCTAACTCCAATCTTTGACTCTCTGTACCATGATCAAGAAACTGCACATTCAAGAATAACAAAGTAATATTAATAAATCATACATAGAACACTGAATTATAAATTTGTAATGGAGATAATCAGCAGTTAGAATTTCAAATAAAAAAAGCATATACCTTTTGTATGACATAATTTCCAAACACATCAGTCATCAACGTACGAGCATGAGGAATAATCTCAGGGAATATCTCGTTCTTCTCTTCAACTGAAGCAGTTTCTAGTTTCTGCTGAATAAACCGACTTCCATACTGATCCGTGCTGCATTGCATAAGAGGAAATGTTGAACTTAGTACTTCAAATACTTCATGAATGAAACAAACACCAAAGCAAGAATTCAATACATACCTGAATTCAACAATGTGACCAACAATGTCTGAAAGTTCAAAAGAACCGGTCTTGTTGTTCTTAAATTCATCTATTAAGGATGATGAGTGTCTTCTTTCTGCATTGCAACCTATATCAGACTGCCATGACCCAGTGGATCCTCCCATTGAACTCCTTATCATAGAAGCTAAGCAAGCAGCTCGCTCGCTCTGAAAACTTCCAGATCCAACAGAAGGAAGCATAGATTTCACCGCTGAATTCTCTGGATATGGCATGCTAAGACCATATGATGAATTCCTACGGTATCCCTGATTCAAACTGCCAGATTTGGTTAGAAGTGGCAACTCATATTGTTGCTTCTGTTGTGCGAGCAATGTCTCAAGGTAAGCTTTCTGAATCCTGTCCAAGTCTCCATCTGAAGTGCCAAAATAGTTTCTAACTGGAGGATCACTTGAAGTAGCTACAGCACACGCTGCATAATCTGAAATTCTTTGCAAGTACTGAGTATAGCGTGGGTCTAGAACTGGAGAATGAAGATCAGACCTTACTTGATTTCCCAGTCTATTAAAACCATGCCCGATTCCATTACCACCTAAAGCAAAATAAAAATTTTAAACCAGCAAGAAACGTATCTACTGTCCATGTGTATACTGTACAAATAACTTGCATGAAAGCTTCAAAAGAAACAAAGATACCTGCATCAAGATGATTCTTGATCACGGAATTCAGTTTTTGAGTCGAATAATCATCAGGTACACGGCCAGTGAAATCCGCAATTGGAATATTTGAATTTTGAAGATGAACATTTGCTCTTTCCAAATTTCCAAGGCCAGAGGAATTCATTTTTGAGTGAAGATTGGTAGAAGAAGAAGTTCTTCTGGGAATACTAACTTTCCCATTAGAACTTATCTTAGAAGCATTACGGTTTGGTACGATCCCATTGTTTCTAGGCATATCAGCATAGTTGGTTGAAAATGAGAGGTTTTCTACCTTGGATTTTTCTATGAGTTGCTGCTGCAGAGTCTGGTCACTACCATTGGAAACATTAAAAGGAAAACCTGGCTTGTTGTTTAGATCCATTTGCAGTTGACGTCGTCTATGACTCTCTTGATCTGCAAATCTAGTGTCCAAAAGGCTTAACCCAGACAAAGTATTGGCAATTTCGCGAAGCTCAGTAACACCAGAAGAATGATCATTCTGGACAGTCATGCCAACAGCATTCTTCTTCTCGATAAGATCAGCTCTGCTGCCAACAGGATGTGGACTTGAAATAGCAGACATCCCAAACAGCTTCTGTTCAGGTGTTGTACTCCTAGACAATGACGAATCCACAGCAGATACAAAGGAGTGAGAAAAAGTATTACTGTGGCTTTGTGTTCCTGTAAAGCCAATGGTAGCTCCTCCTGGATGCAAGCCTTCCAAGGATTCCATTCCATCAGGTAACCCATCTTGACGAGGATCATATACACCAGTTGCATCCAGAAGATCACCAAAAGCATTATGACTTGCTGGGGATGATAGGTGACCTGGTATGGAAGTGGGCTGATCAGTTCCTTCCTGAAAAACATAAGAATGCCATTTGTCAACTATCATAAATATGCAAAATGAAATGCAACACCTAGCATAGAAAAGAGATAATAGAATGCAATACCTAGCTTTTGCTGGTGTACACGTTAGTTGAATCAAAATAAATTGGATGAATAACTATGGGCAACACCAAAACTGCTTTTCAAGTATAATGAACATAAAAATGACTATGATTTTTATGAAAATTATCCATCAAGTTCCCTAACTTGATCAAACAATTGTTGCTTAATTAATAGACTCTCAAATTTATTGGCACTTCTCTGAAGTACCAATTGTTGCTTAATTGATGATAATAACAGTTGTTACTTGATTAAATTTGCTTCATTCATAGTCTCATTCTTCAACTATAAAAGTCATCTACTAGCACAAAGATGCTGTCCTTGATAACCAAAACAGACTTCAATAGTTGCCATAATAATAATAAAAAACTCCTTCAACATGATTTCATGAACAAATGGATGAACTAAATAAGAAATTGCTAAGGTTCAGTTACCAATTCTTTTAGTATTATTGAAAAGTTGATAAGCTAGTTCTTGTAAAAGCTCGTATTTTCATATTGCTATATCCTCTACCTGAAGAATGTCAGCAAAACTTTTCCTCCTTGTACCAAACCTGGAACCCTGCAATCTATGACCATCCCAACCTCTATCAAGCCACTCAGCTGAAGCATTCCTAATGAGATTAGTTCTATTTGAATTCCTCAATTCCGTCAAATCATTGTCAACGTTGTGCACTGAAAGTCCTGGCTGCATTGAAAACAGTGATGAACCATCACTATCATCAACCACTTTATTCTCCCTCAAGTCTCCAAAAACTCCAAAAGAAGATCCAGAAGACTGAAACCTTTGCGCAACACGCCAATCCTCCTTTGACAACAAGGGTGGGGGCAATCTCGGGTTAATGTTATCATGAGAATAGTAATATGAAAGATAAGATGGGTGTGAGCGAATCTCATCTTCAGTAAATACCACATTGTTACTAACACTTTTGATGTCACTCAAATTATGGTTCCTAAAAAGGCTTCCCGCGGCACTTAATGATCCCTCAACAGTGGGTGGAGCACTACCACTCCTATACATATCGAGATCCCTTTCTATGCGTTGATTATGACGCCGTGCTTGAAGAATCAATTCCAGTTCGCTATGCAAATTATCCTCTAAATTACCATTGAGCCCCCCTTGTAGGTAATCATCTACTGTTGGTAGCATCTCTGTGTTGCTGCTTCCAGTGACCATCTCTCAAAGAAACTGAAAATTAGCCGAACAAACAACCAAATCAAAAATAAATAAATCCAAACTCCAACACTAATTCTATGTTTAGTTGCTAAGAAAAATTACAAAACTCATTTTAAACAAAAAGGAGTCAAGTAAAATGTAACACCTAGCTAAATTAAAAATCCAAACTTTAACACTAATCCCCTGTTTGGTCGGTGAGAAAATTTATAGAAGTCATTTTAAGCAAGAGGGGTCAAGTAAAATGTCACATTTAGCAAAATTAGAATTTCTGAAATATAAAACTTTGCAAAAAAATTGAACATAGTGAGTGTAGGCTTTTTCAAACAAAGCAAATCAAACTTTACTGCAGGAACATAACTAGACATGTAAGGAAATAATACCCACGAAAAAGAAACTAAAGTCTAGACCCATTATTTTTATCACCAAAAAAAAAATGATTAAACAAGAAGATTAAACTGAGCTCTTATCATTGAATTTACGTATTCAAAATCAAGACGGAAAAAGCTCATACATTTATTCCTTTTTTTAGCGTTCTTTCTCAGCAACCAAACAGAGCTTCAAAATTTTAAAATCAAACAACAAGAATTATAAATTGCATCAAGATTCGATACCTTCACGATTAATATCCACATCAATGGAAAAAAACTAGAACCTAAAAAAAATAATAATAATCAGCGATAAAATAAACGCACGTAATTAAAAAAAAATTCTAAAACAGACGTGAATCAAAAACGAAACTTAGGAAGAAAAAAAAGGTAAAGAACCAAACGTTGTCGTATCTAGAATTGAGAAAAGCTTCGTGATTAACAAGAGGTGATTAAAAAATGTGAAAAAAAAATTAGATGAAAAAAGAGAGAGAGAGAGAGAGGATTTACAGAGGGAGCGAGAGCATGGAGAAAGGAGATTCTTTTGAAACGGTCACCTTTTTTTTTTTTTTTTATGTTCTAGGTTTCAATTCCTTATTTTATAATATTATTTTTTATTATTTCATAGAGAGTGAAAAAGAGAAGGCACTGTGAGGGCCGTTCGATCGAGAATGGACGGCGATAGACGGTCGTTACGTGCATGCCAGCATTTCTTATGGCTTTATAGTTTATACGAGGTCGTTTGAAGTTTCTCTCTCCTTTACTTCTCTATTATTATTATTATCATCATCTAAACATTAGAAATTATTGAATACATTTTATCATAAAATCAACTAATTTGTCCTTGATATAAAAAAAAACTTTTCTCACATTTGATTCTCATCTTAATCATTAATGCAACACTGCATTATCAATGCAGAAAGATCTAGAGATTTCATAAGAGGCAAAAGATAACCTAGCGAACTGTTCGAAGAATTGCTTTCGAATTCATAGGCAGACGAGACAATGTGACGAATTGAAACATCTTAGTAAATGGAGGAAAAGAAGAAAGCAAAGCGATTCCTATAGTAGCTGCAAGCAAATGAGAGTGACCTAAACCACAAAAAGAGAGTTGTGAAAGAGCAATACTACCACAAAAACAAGAGTTGTGAAAAAGCAATACAAGCATCGTGTTGCTAGGCGAAGCAGTAGAGTGCTCCACCTTCAACGAAGAGAGTCCAATAGCCGAAAACATTTTTTCCGAATAATTTAATCATATCATCCTATAAATTGTTGGAAAAAAAAAAAACCATTAGTCGGATTGTCCCAACATCATCTGATTCGAGTAAGAAGCCAGCAAATATGCATATCGATTCTCTCTACTATGAACCAAAACCACGAACTATGACTAAACTCGAACCGGTGCATTATCCGATTGTTGCATCTAGCTCGCGTCAACGAGGTGAGTTCTTAACAATGGTTGGTTTGCAATGAAGAAAGGATTGATACTACCGATGTTAAGAACTCCAACAGTATAAACCACATATTTCCTTCAACTCACGGAAGCATCACAAATTAACAGTAGCTGCAAGAGAACAAAAATGTTCATCCAAGCAATTCATCACAAAATATAGAACGACAGTAATTGGAGTCGGCATTGCAATGAGTTCACCAAAAATTTTGTTTTTTTCTTTGTTTTTATACAATATTCCGTGAAATATATCTTTGTTTTTGCTGCAGATGAGGTTATTACTACAAAAGAGCTGAAATCAGCAAAAATAAGGGCCAAAAAGATAATTGATACAAGAATTCACAAGGCACCCTCATTTTCAATCATTTTGCGAACTTCATTAATGATCAAATATGCTTTGTGGCCACCGATCACCTCTGCCTGTTTCTTGCTATCCTTCCATAGCTGTAAAACAGAGAGAAACAGCTTCAAAGAGGGAAGTAGAGATGCAAAAGTAACAGTGAATCTTAAAAACATACAACCAAAACAATACCTGAATAGTTGGCATTTTCTGCAAAGATTTCGCAGTCCACGACACACACATACATGGAAAAATGGAACAATTAAGTGTTATCACAAGTGCTAGGGATATATATATTTTGCTGAAACAAGACGAAATTATGAAATTAACCTTCGATATGCATGCGTGCTTTGTTTTTAATATGCTTGCACATGTTAAAAGTTTGTGACTGGAATAGCGTACGATTGGAATTTATGACTGCAGCGCAGTAGTATGTGACCCAACCATTCAATTATTCACCAACTAGTAAAATGTTTCATGTGGTATGGCAGCACCTAAAAAAAGAAACCATTCCAACCCCTCAAAGCAAGCTTAAACTAAATTTCCATACTTCTTCATAAATGCATCTACCACCTTTCCAAACTGATTCTGTATATCTTGTACCCTAGATAGAATGATTTATAACAGATAAGTTGCAACCAGATTTTGCTTGTCCTGGATGTTCGATATAAAGTTCGAAAGAAGACAAATTACAGACAGTATAAACTATGTTTCTATGCGACTTACAGTGACTCCTGCACGGGCAACAAGTTTGTGTGGAACATTATTGACATTGATGCAGTAAAACCGCAATCTGCATAGCATCATTGAATAAAAAAAAGGGGGAAAATTCTCAATAACTATATTGGCAAGAAAACTGGCTCAATTGTCAAGTCATGCTTGGATATATAAAGAACACACTGTGGATTATTCTCTGTTTCCAAAAGTCAAGAAAAATCTTTTAGGCATTGAATGAATTTCTGACTAAGGAATGACATGGAATTTCAATCTTAAAAGATCTCAAGAAACACAAATCAAAAGGCAACCAGGAAAGCTGATGAAAAATTACATATGAAGACGCAACCTGTGAAAAAGTACTGATGCTAGATGCTTTTTTGCATCCCCAATTCTGCTTTAAAGAATTACATGGCAAATGGAAGGGTTAAAGTGTGCTTTTACTTGTAAAACTTCAATGAATACCACTTTATAAAGCTATAACATTAATTCCTTCGAAGCCTCCAAATTATTAAGATGGAGTTGGTTCTGGGAAAGAGAAGGATCAAAACTAAGCATCTTGTTCAACTTAAGAAAGAGCTGCATTTACAATTGGTAGAAAGTAAAATCAAATGCAGATTTCAAATCTTTTAAACTATTTTCCATTAATTTGGCATGCAAATCAAATGAGAAACTGAACAGTTGATGCACGGAAAATAAGCCTCTACATCAATTTTTTAATATGTCTAGTCGGCAATTCCGCTCTAATTTAACCATAGATGATCGGGAAGGAAAATAGAGCAAACCTTCTATAGTAATCGGCTGCCAACTTTTCCAATTTTGGTTTCAAATATATACATTTTCTGCACCAGTTTGCCATCCTACAATTACAAATAACCTTTAATAAGACAATATAAACCCATTGTCATACAGTAAGTTATCCTAGATGAGCAGGGATTGTTTCTTAAAGCTCACTCAAAACAGCACAAAACCTCAAAGATTAAAATTTGCGTTCTCATTTACCAAAATTTCTCTTTGACCAGATAAACTAGGGTCTCAAATCAACCAAATGGAACCAAAAAATTACCAATTGGAACAAAAAACATTAAAAATAAAGACACCTTATTGGAACTGCTAAAGGACTAAAAAAATCTGAACTTGCTCCTTTTTCTCAATTTTTTTCAATAAAATGAAATTGACCCAGATGCAGAAACAGACCTAACAAAAGCAAAATCCCACTAGTTCAAACAAAACCCAAAAACAAACTCACACCACATACCAAACAACGATAACAGATTCCTCAAGTTGATGTGCCTCTGCCATCACACGATCAAACTGGCTCTCATTGTAAATGGGCTCCAACTCAAACGATACAGGAGAATCATCCACCTCTTGCAAAGACCCTTCTTGACTCCAAGCTTGAAAGACTCCATTTTTCCCTTGAAACCCATGAATTGTACAGGGGAAATTGAATTTTCCAGGAGAAGAGAGTTTCTTAAAAGTCGAAATGGAGAGACTTTGACAAGAAGTAGGATTACTTGGTATTGGCAAGTCACGTGATGGGTCACGTGGGATTGAATTTGAAGACAAAAGTTTGAGAGATGGTGGGCTGTGTAAGATCTTAGACATGTTTTGAAGAAGGGAATATAAGTAGTAGTAATTTGCAAAAGCAACACTAGAAATCAGTATAAATATATTTGCTGTCTGTCATTCATGCCCTGCAAGAAGGAGGAAAGGCAGACTTTCCTTTGCTTAGAGTGTGGGCTCCACAGCCTAATTGTAAAATCTAAGGAAATGTCAGATCTGGACCTGTCTTTTGACCGTTCGATTAGACTTTCTATGATTCTATCCAAGGTTGCCGGTTCTTGCATCAGTACTTGTGCTTCCCCGGTAACTTGTTTGATACATGAGGAGTTATACTCTCACTTTAACGTAATATTCATCATAAAAATATTTTTCATACAAGAAAACTGAATATAACACCAGATATCTTGAATAAATTCATCTTGTTGCACATATCATGATTTTTTTTTCAAATTCCAATAAAAAGTTGGATTTCGATTATTTGGAAAAATAAAATTTTGAAAAATGTATTAATTGTACTTAAAAATTGATATAATAATAGAATAAATAGTTTGATATATTTTTATATAATAAATTAAATATTTAATATGTTTTTATATTTTTAATTGCATCGATTATATTCTTAAATAATATTCATGCTTTCAATCTTTATATCTGATTATGAATAAAAATTTTGATTAAAATATTCTTGATGGAAATACTAAAAAAAAAACCTCTAAAAATTTTTAACATAGAATGTGCAAGTCATGTTGTTTTATTTATTTATTTATTTATTTTGAATTTCAATGAGAGGCATTCTAATTAAAAAATTGCTATTGATTGAAAAAAAATTAAAGATTTATGTATTATTTAAAAATATAATAAATACAATTAAAACTATAAAAATAAATTAAAAATTTAAATTATTATATGAAAATAAATTGAATTATTTACTCCTGATAACTACATAACCCAAAAGATCTCTATATATATCATTAAAAACACATACAAAAATATATTAAGTTGGCACTCATGATTGTCTTGGTAATTTCAGCATCCTGTAAGTCTCTCTCGTTTTACTTTTTCAGATTGTTGGGGTACTTTTCTCTCCTGTCTTTTCAGAATAATTATTACCATGCAAAATGTTTATTGATTGTAAACAACTTTTATTTTTCACTTAATTTTATTTTTTTCATTTTACGAACATTTTGATGGAAAACCTACTGAAGTGATAGCTCATGATTCAAAAACAAAAATATCCTGCAGGTTTTCTAAATGGAACAGTTGAAGCTAGAGAAATCACATAGAATATGGTGCATCAAGAATTTTCGATTAAAAATGGTTTTACTCTAAAAACTATTTTTGCTCCATTACAATATCACGATTTCAAGTTTTTATTATCAATATGTATAATTTGAATCTCAAAATATCATTTTTTGTACAAATTTTATCTAAATTTGTTAATTGTAACAGATCAACCCAATTGATCGTTATTTTTTTTTACTATTTATTTTTAAAAAAAAAGTTAAAAATGCTTTTCCTCTATTTTCAAGAGATTTGTTTTTTCACCCGTTTATGTATAAATTAAAAAAAAAGTCATTAAATTTATCACTAAATTTTTTTTGTTCTCTCCGAAAAAGAGTTTTCACTTTTTGAACCTTTTTAAAAAAAAACTAAAAAAAAAATTAGAAAAGTTAAAAAAAAAATTAACTCTAACAAGTTTAAATACATATTATAATTTGAATCAATTATGAGAAAAAAATCCTATAAAACACATGAAGATAAAAATAAATTACAGTTATATTTAAAATTTAATGATTGACAATCACAAGAATAAATTTAATGGTATGACAAAAGAAATGTTTAAGCTAAAATTAATTATTTGATATTCAACCAATAGATATTTTTATTTTATTAATTATAGAAGTTGATTGATAATAGGACTACATAAAAGTTATTTTTTAATATATATATATGTATGTATGTATGTATGTATGTATGTATGTATGCACACACAAGTAACAATTTGATTGATTTTGAAAAATCAAAAGGATTAATATGTGTAAATTTTAAATAGAAAGAATCTCTTTTGAAAAATGGAGAAAAAATATTTTTAATATTAAAAAAATTAACAATAGAAAAGAAAAAACAGCAAAAAAAAAAAAAATCAATAGTCAACTAGATTGACCGTTACAATTGACGAATTTAGATAAAATTTACCTAAAAACCAATATTTTAGGGTTTAAATTGCATAAATTGATAATAAATGCCAAATTACAAAAATGCAATAGAACATGGGCAATTTTTGCCATTGAAATGCACCCATATATATATATATATATATATATATAATCCAATTTAATAATTTGATTAAGTTTGATATAATTTTATTGTATTTGAATTTTAGAATTTCGATAGTCAAAATAAAATGCCAATGAAGTACTACATGAATTGGTTATGATTTAAGAAGCTTATTATGCATTATTTAAGATTTGATATAATATTACAATAGACATATAATTCAAAAATGGGGTTTAACCTATTTTTTAAAATGAATAAATTCTTTTAAAGATTTTCATTATGTAATTAGGAGGTGCAGTATAATTACATATTAGGAATAAAAAAGCGATAGTTCCTCCAACCTAGGATTGAAAAATATTAAGAAATATTTAAGTAAATAATTAAAGCTATTAATCATCATGTCTCTTTCTTTCTTTAGTTTCCCATTTTCATGATAAAGTTTTTATTTTATTGAATAAATAATTAATTGTAGCTACACCAACACAACATGAATTTTTTGTTAATATATTAGTATTTGGTTTTGCCCATATATAGTTCTTGTATTATTTGAATTTTTTTATTAATGCCTTGCATTCTTTTTTATGTTCATTTAGTCCATTCACTCGTCATTTTGTTTTGTTACTATCCTTCTATTATAATGTTGTTAGTTTGCGAACCAACATGACATGTTCTACTTCTAAATACATAACATGTGTCATACTTGAGATCTCAATAGGTAGACTCAATTAGCACAATTAAAAAAATATAAGGATCAAATTATTATTTTTTTCTTTTTTACTTTTAATGTTATTATTTTTAAAAAAACCTCATATCAAATGAACAAAACATGTCATATGTGAGAGTTCATCATAGTAAAAATGTGAAATATTTTTTTAATTGTCATGATAAGTTAAAAATAATAAAATAATACATAGAAAAAAAAAAAGAAAAAAAGAACCTAAAGTACAATTATTAAAACTAAAATATAATGATGAGCAATATTTGACCAATTCAAAGCAAAATATATATATAGGTTGCACCATGTTTTCATTTTTTGACATAAATAATTGATTATTAGTTAGCATTACTTGTTATTTTCATTTTAAGTTTGAGGAATGTATTTGTATTGTTTTCAAAAAAATTCTATTAGATTTGTTTTGCATATATTTTATTATTTTTAAATTATTATAATAATTTTGGTTAATGACTTAATCTATTCTTATATAATAGGATAATTCTCCTATCTATCCTTATATTTCTAATTGATTCAATTTTATTCTTTAATATATATGTAATATATTTTTATAACATAATTTTTTAGACAAACCACCAAAATCAATCATATGGCTTTCACATGAAAGCTTTTTTATTCGTATGGCTTACAAGAGCAATACGAGAACAAAAAATACACACGTTGCAAATCACGTGATTAATTCTTGTGATCCGATTTAAAATCTTACCAAAAATGATAGATTAAAAGCTTAACAAATATATGAGAATGAAACTGATTCAATTAGAAATACGAGTAACATATTGAGAAATCACTCTATAATATAAAGATAGATTACGCCACTAACCCTAATAATATATATATTTTTTAAGGAAATACTCTTCCCAAGTTTATTGTGATGAGATCTCACACATGACATGTTTTTTGGTATTCAAAATGAGTCTTAAAAAACCAATAACATGGAAATTAATAAAGAAAAAATAATATTTGGCCCTTGTATTTTTTGAATTATTTTGATTGAAATCTCATACTTTTTGAATTATTTTGACTAAGTCTCTATATTGGGATGTTACATACGACACCACTACCGGAAAAATACTAATTAGCGACGGATTAAAATCTATTGCTATTTAGTGACGGATTATAAAAGGTTGTGTTTTGTGATGGATTAGCGACGGATCGACGACGGATACTTAGCAATGGTAAAAATCCGTCGCTAAATAAGGCGAGGAAAAAAGCATCAAAATCAGCAACGGATTAGCGACGACCACGTGGTTGCTAAATGAAAAAATTTCGTTGCTAAAATTCTCATAATTTAGTGAAGTTAGCAACGGATTTTGGAATCCGTCGCTAACTTTGGGATTTTGGGGGGAAATTTTCTCATCAAAATCGTCACTTAGAGACGGATTGTGAAATCCATAGCTAATTTTGCATTCAAAATAGCGACGGATTGAAATCCGTCCCTATTATGAAATTTTGGGTGGAATTTTCCCACCCACACGGTTCAAATAAGTGACGAATTTGCTATTACGTCGCTAATTAGTGAAGGATTGGCGATTCCGTTGTTAATTAACGATCGATTGAAATCCCTCACTTGTTTTGAAATTTTAGGTGGAAATTTTTCCACCCATAAGGTTCAAATTAGCGATGGATTTAATATTACGTCGCTAATTAGTGACGGATTGGTGATTTCGCCACTAATTAGCGACCGATTGAAATCCGTCGCTATTTTGAAATTTTGGGTGAAAATTTTCCCACCCACGAGGTTTAAGTTAGCGATGGATTTGCTATTCCATCGCTAATTAGTGACGGATTGGTGATTCCGTGACTAATTAGCGACGAAATTCAATCCATCGCTAATTAGTAACAAATTGAATTTCGTCGCTATTTTGAAAAATTGGGTGAAAATTTTCCTACCCACAAGGTTCAAATTAGCAACGGATTTACTATTCCGTCGCTAATTAGTGATGGATTGGCGATTCTCGTTGCTAATTAGCAATGGATTGAAATCCGTCACTAATTAGCGATCGATTGAAATCCATCGCTATTTTGAAATTTTGGGTGAAAATTTTTCCACCCACACGGTTCAAATTAGTGACGGATTTACAATTTCGTCGCTAATTAATGACGAATTGGCGATTCCGTCACTAATTAGCGACATATTAGTGACGGAATCGTGTCCGTCATTAACCTTTGAGCCTATAAACACACGGTTTATCTTCTTCTTTCCCATTCCGTCCCCTCTCTCTTCCACCCAAAATCCACCGTCGGCCGGAAAACCACAACCCACGCGCCCTTCGCCACCTAATGACTTCCCAAACCATTAAACTCGGTGAGTTGCATATTTCTCCCTCAAAATCCAACGAAATCTCTCGCTCTCTCTCCTTAGTCTCTTTGGTAAAAATTTCTCTCTCTAACTCTTTCGTTTAAAAAAAAAAATTAAATGAATGTTATAAACTTTTAGGTTAATTTTGTTATTTGTTAATTGATTAATTATTTGAATGTTGTTAATTTTATTATTATGTTAATTTTTAATTGTGTTAATTTATTTGTTAATTATTGGTGTAAATTTGTTAATTGTTTATTTAATTTTCTTAATTTTTAGATTAATTTTTTTAAGTGTTATTTTTTAATTGTGTTAATTTTTATGTTAATTTTAATCTAAAAATTGTTAATTATGTTAATTTTTTAGGTTTAATTTTATTAATGTAATTTTTAAAGTAATTTAGTTAAAATTGATTTATTGTTAATTTATTTATTTTTAAATTTTAGATTAAAATTTAATTATTTAATCTTTAATTGTTATTTTAAATTAATTAATTAATTGTATTAATTATTACGTGAATTTTGTTAGTTGTTTGTTTTAAGTTAATTTTTAAATTATATAATTTTGTACGTACTTTAGTTAAATTTTATCGATTATTTCTTAAGAAATTTTTAATTTATCGGTTACCTATAGATCCGTTGACTAGTCGGCAGTCTAACGTTCCTTCGCACGACTTCTTGTTCAACCTCCACTCGATCCTCCCGTCGAGCCCTCCACATAGTACCGGAAGGAGGATCCGGGATTAGACAAGCAAGATGAGTGAGGATGAGTGATAGAACAAATATTTAGTGATTTTGTTTTATTTTACCGAATCTACTACTCGAATGTTATTATTAAAATTAATTCATTTTCAATCTATACATTATTACATTTAATTGTTAACTATTACATCTAATATTAATCATTTAAAAAAAACCAAAATAAAATGAAAAAAATATTTATTTTTTTGAAAATATAGCGATGGAATAGCGACGAATTGGTGACAATTTCGTTTTTCAAAATAGTGATGGAATAGCAACGAATTTATTTTTAAAATTAGCGACAGATTAGCTACAAATAAAATGACCGATCATGTGACAAGATTAGTGATGGACTTTTTGGTTTAGCGACGGATTGAGTATTTCGTCGCAAAAAATTAGCGACAAACAAAATAACGACGGAATATTTTTTGTCACTATTCACGAATAGCAATGGAATATTTTCCGTCGCTATTCACAAATAGCAACGGAATCGGAGCGTTTAGCGACGAAATATTCCGTCGCTAAACTTCGTTTTTTTTAGTGCACATGTCATGCATTTAGGAATATAACGTGTCACATCAGCTTACAAACTAATAATATTATTACAAAAGAACGGTAACAAAACAAAATAAAGATCAAATGTACTTAACTAATATAAAACAGAGTATATAATTTCAATCAAGATAATTTAAAGAGCAGAAAGACTGTATATGGACAAAACTGTACTGGTATTTGATAAAATATTGTAATTCAGGAGGAGCTAGGTAGTTTTCTCTGGGCTGGGCGTTGGGGGATTTATTTGTGTACAAACACAAAATTTTGATACACCTTTTTTTACACGTGTAGAAAAAACCCTACTATCATTTTTTTATATATAAATAAAATCTAAATCGTGCTTATAAGTAAATATTTTATTGTTGAAAGGAAAACCTTTTAATTATTCTAGACCATCAAAACAAGAAAGGAATTGATTAGGAATAAATACAGTCAAAGTCGCTTACAAAGTAGTTTCTAAAGTTTAGGAAAATCAATAAAAAATAATTACTTTTGGAAGTTTAAATAACCAATCAATAAAGAGAAGGACTAATAAAAGAATGAACAAACATATGGAAATCCTTTTACTGCCCCCGTAATCTAATTAAAGTTAATTACTTTTAATATATTTATAATATACTTTGAATTTTTTTATCAAATATAGAAATTTTCTTAAATTGAAAACGAGAAAGGCTTTTATATCTAGATCAAAAAGTTAAAAAAAAAAAAATCTTATATGTAAAGAATGAAACAGACTTACATGTTACTATAGCAGGGTCCAAAAAACATACAATAAAAATCTTATATACAAACTAAAGATCTTGAATCCATATCTAAAAATTAAATAATTATTCTACAAATGAATGGACAGTCGATCACTTTTTGTGGGCAATCCATCAATAGATCTATTATCTTAATCTTTTACTTGATTTTTTTTTTTACCTTGATAAAAAATCTGAATACTGATATATTAGTATTTTATGTAAAACTTATATTGTAGTCAAATACTCACAAGACGATAGAAGAATATGAAAAACAAGAAAAATAACTTTAATCTAAGAAAAATACCAGAAAAATTTAATAACTGTAGAAATAAACATCATATTTAGTAAAAAGAATACTAAAAATGAGATTATTGACAAAAGAATATTGAAAAAAGAAAGAAAAATGCTCTGTGATAGTTATAGATAAAACTTAAAAGACTCTCAAAATTCTAAAGGAAAAAAAAAAAAAAAAACTTAATCCGAGAAAGAACTAATATGCCTTGATTTGAAAGGTGGATTATTGTTAGTTGAATCTGTATCATACACACAAAAAAGAAGAAGCAATGATCATATATGTACGTGGGAAAAAAAATCAAAATCTTAGGAAAGAATCAAAATCTAATTGTAAAAGACCTACCATTACAAGTGGGATATTTAAAAAAAAAACTAAAAAAAACTAAAAAATCATGATATATAGTATCAATTAACGATATTCTTAGTTAATTCAAAGAATAGTCTCTGCAAAAAAGAAATAGATTTCTTTAGAATGATAATACTGTTCGAATTCAAATACTCGTAAAGGAGTGGTAATAAATACAAAAAGGACGGATGTTTCACCTAATAATAAATAAGGGAGAAAATTTTTTCCATCAATTAAAAGGATTCTATTAAAAAAGTTAAATTCATTTTGAAAATCCAAATATGGCAATATCTTTTCAATAGAGAAAGCAATTAGTTTTTTCAATGTACGTTGCGGATCGAATAAAACACATAAAATTATTTTAATTTGATGTTTCATATTATATTGTGAATATACTAAAATAGATCAAATCAAAACTGAATAATTTTTTTAATCAAAATTTTGGACTTGACTGATTATTCTTTATACTTTTCATAAATTTTCAAAACATTATTTATTTATCCAAAAACTAAAAAATTTAATAATATAAAAAATGTCAAATCAATGGATTCTTAGCGAAAAAACTTATTTTGTAAATTTTTTTTATAAATTTTTTTATCTTAAAATTTTTTATTAAAAAAATAGAGGAAGTAAAAGGACAAAAGTGATCAAAATGAAACAAAAGAGGAATCAAAATAAAAATAAAAAATATTTACGAATTAAAAAAATAATGTTTAAAAAAAGATTAAAGTTTAATATTGTAAAAACTTTCATAATAAATATCTTCAAAATATTTAAAAACTAAAAAAAAGATGCATTTAAGTCTAGGTGAATAGTACAAATTAGTTTAGGTGAATAGTATTGCAATAAATAATAATCCATAATTTTAATTTAGTTTTCTTTTTTTGTTAATGTCTTTCAAGTTAACGGGTCAAAAATAGACGTGGGTATATACATGGAAATAAACTTATCGTCCCATAAGAATATTAGTGTTTCTTCTCTATAAATACTAGGTATCCAGAAGTTCTCTACATATGTCATTGAAAACACAAAAAAAATATTTTAAATTTTCCAGTACTACTACAAGAGAAAAATGAAGAACGCAGCATTTAAAGTGGCACTCATGATTGCTTTAGTAATTTCAACATCTTGTAAGTTTCTTTCATTTTATTTTTTCAGATTTTATTTTAATTTTTTTTTTGGGTACTATTTTTCTCCGGCCTTTTCAAGATAACTAATATCATACTAAATGTTAATTTATTAATCGTAAATAATTTTTCTTTCAATCCCAACGGGGGAGACATTATGCTTGATGGCCCAGTGGCTAGGTTTTACTTTTTCCTTTGCATCCTATTAACGTGAGAAGAATATCTTGAAAATTATATATATATATAGTTTCAATTAAGATGTAAGGTGGTCCAAAGATACCTCTTGAATAATAATAACCAAAAAAAATTCTCTCATTTTATTATTATTATTATTATTTTCATTTTTCAGACAGTTGAAAAATACATAAATATGTGATAGTTCATGATTGAAAGAACAAAAATCTTTGGCAGGTTTTCTACATGGTTCAGTTCAAACTACAAAAATGACAGAGGAGATGGTGCATCAAGAATCTCCTTCTAAAATAGAGTATATGGTATGTGTTAACGATAAGGGATGTCAACCCTATTGCCCTACGACTTGCAGTCGTGTTTTCTGTGTTGTAAAAGAAAATGCAGCCGATAACAAGTGTTTCTGTGAAAAGAGTGAATTTTCTGTTAAGAGAATGCTCATAACACTACCCTGTATTATCGGTGCCTAGCTTGTTATATCAAAATAAAATATTATGATGTAATATTTGGTGATTTAACTCTAATAGAATAATAATACAAATGTCCTATGCCTTTATGCATTAATTTGCAGTGTTGTATTTTGAGCTGGAAAAGATGAAAATCTTGCTAATTATTATAAGATTTTTATATTTTTATTTTCGCATAAATAAGGCAACATGATGTTGTTACCGCTTTACAATTAAATTTGAATTCGAAGATATAAATTAGTTTTAAAAAGAAAATTACCGTTGTTTTTTTTTTTCATTTTATGAACACTTTGACAATTATGTACTAAAAGTGATAGCTCATTATTGAAAAAACCAAAATATTTGTTAAGTTTTCTAAATGGATTAGTCGAATTGTTTTTTTGTGATAATGCACAAGTCCCTCCGCTCAAGAGCAAGTGCTCTTGCAAAAAAACTACATGCATTTAAAATGATACGTAATACATGAATCCAAAATTTAAAATTAACTGTGACTCATGTAATAGATAATATTTAAAATGTATCTAATTAATTAACTAATGATGATATATATTTAATTAATTACAATTTACGTAATCAATAATAATTATGTATCTAATTAATTATGATACTTGTAATTAATAACAATACTTGATAAAATATTGACGGAATTCTTAGGTTAAATTTATTATAAAAAAAAAAAGGAGTCTGGTCCTCTAAACAAAACTAAAGGATATTAGTTTTTATCATTAAAAAATAGATTAAGTGAAAATCAATTTTTATGAAATATGTGAAAAATATCTAAATTTAATCAAATTATGTATTATGTGACAAATATGAAATTCTAAAATTTATAAATATAATAAATTTATATCCCATTGTTCTCCATAATTACAATTTTATTCTTTCAAAAATAAATTATACTACTCCAAATGACGTCAAAGTGAATAGGAGGATGTGGCCACATGTCCAACAATTGTTTTAACGCCTTTGGTAAAGACATGAATCACGAGAGTAATTAATATAGATGTATAGTAATTATTTTATAAACTCATTCTTTAAAAGAAAGAAAAAAAAATTACATTTGGATTAATTAAAAGTAATAAAAAGATTTTTACATTGATTTTTTTTAATTTTCTTTTTTTTCTCTCCTCTCGGTGTTTATCTTTTTTTATGGAGTAAAATTATACTAATTATTCTTAAGTATTATAAAATTTCTTCACAATTTACAACGTACTAGATTATGTTTCAGGAAAAATTTAGGAATGCTTTTCCATGCAAAATGCATTGTAGAAGCATGAATATTTTTAGTGGCGCATTTTATGGGTTGAAATTAAATTTGGGCAAAAGTAGTTAGGTTGAGAACATAACCAGTACTTTTCATATGTGTTGGGTCTAAAATTTAACAACATGTTAATATGTATTTCTTCTATGTGAAAAATCCTCAAATGAGATCGGTTTTCTATAATTTTTATACAAAATTCAATAATAAAAAATTAAAAATAAATTATTGAAAAAAAAGAAAAGAAAAGAAAACAAAGCTAGGCTTGCGCCGTTGGCCTTGAAGAAAGATAGCACGGGCCTGCCACATTTTAAACACACACACACATATTAGATGATGTGTTGTCCATGTATAATTTTTTGTTTGTTTGTTTTTTTGTTTTTTTTTTGCCTTTTTGGCCTTTTTGCCTCAAAACACCTTAGAATCATTGATATAAGATTAAAAACTCATTTAGAGCCTTAAAAAGTCCTATTGCACATAAAAAAATCAAATTCAAAAACTTAAAATATTTTAAAGTTTCGATTTATCTTTTACAGATATTTTATAGCTTAAAATGACTATAAACAATCTCTCATTTACGAGATGAATAAATTGAAGTCAATATCACTGGTAGTCAAAGTGGTCAAAATTGGTCTTGTTGTATCTCTCTCTCTCTCTCTCTTCTCTTCTCTTCTCTTCTCTCTTTTTGTTTTTTTCTTCTCTTTAAATCTAGAGACTAAATCAAAATATAAATAATATTGGAAATCAAAACGAAAACATTTGAAAAAAATTAGGAACCAAAATATAATATTTGTTAAAACTCACATATCAAATGCTTAAATAAATTTAACAAATCACAATAAGACTAAGTAAATAGTGTTCACGAGTGTAAGTGAAGAATAGTTTTTTCCTGATCTGTAGCACTGTTTAATTGTCCTAGTTTTTCTAATGTTTTTTAAAATAAAATACCTAATATGAAATTTATTATGGATTATATTTCATGTGAGCAAAGTGAGTATAACTCGAAATTTATTGAATAATTCTTGTGTAACTCGAAATTTATTGAATAATTCTTGTGTTACACACATTTTCATTTTGGGAATACAAATTTCAGATGGAAGTTGGATTTTGGGATTATTTAGGAACAAATTTTTAAGTAGATGTTTTAATGTACTAAAAAAAATTGATGTAAAAAAATTGATTATCTGACAGTAAAGAGTATCTTTTGACTAATTTGCATGTTAATCTAAACTAAGTCTTTTTTTTCCGAACGATTTTAAAAACGCACTATTTACGTTAGTGTGATATATTTAAAAAAATTAATAAATTTTTTAAATGCTAATTTCAAGTATTAAATTTAAAAAATCAAGGAATAAATCATATTTTTCATACCAAACCTTCGGGTTTTTAAAAATATTGATCCAGTTTTTGAATCCAGTTTTTGTTTGCTAAATATACACCCATATGATGGTCTAAGTTGCCAACAGCAAAATTGGATCCAGTTTTTGAAAAGCCCATATCTCAGCCACCATATTTGAAACCACAGGCCTACACCAAGGTGGGCTTGAAAAAGCCAGCCTTCCACCCCCATGGAGCCTCCACCGTCCCCTTCTTGGATATGACCTCCAGACGTGCCAAATGATTACTAAAATAAAGAAAATTTTCTCATTCTAATTATTTTACAGTGATAATGATTTATTTAATTAATATTGAATTATGATAACATAAGGATTTTTTGATCAAAATATTAAGTTTTTTTTTTCGACAGCACTCCTGATTAAAAATCATTTTTTAAAAAAAACCACAATTAAAAACGAGGTATTTACAAAAAAAATCTGATTAAAAAAATTAGCGATATAACATATCAATTCATGAAGTTCTTAATGTCTTTGAACAGTCAAATATAACAATCTTTTTATGATAGAAAAAATAAATGTTGACAATAAATATGTATATAAATGGAAATAAACTCATCGTACCACAAGAATTTTAATACTTCTTCTCTATAAATACTATCCAGAATTTCTCCACGCATATCATTTTTTTTCAAAATTCTGTACACATATCATTAAAAACACACAAAAAGATAAATTAAAATTTCTGATCAATATGCACACTAGCTAATACAAAAGAAAATGAAGAACACTGCATTAAATATGGCCTCGTGATTGCTTTAGAAGTAATCTCTGCACTATACATGTAAGTCTCTCTCATTTTATTGTTTTAGATTTTTGGGCTACGTCCTTTCCAAGATAACTATTACCATGCTAAATGTTTATTGATTGTAAACAACTTTCTTTTTTCATTTTTTTTTTAATTTTACGAACTTTGACAAAAATGTACGGAAATGACAGCTAATGAATGAAGAAACAAGAATATTTGGCAGGTTTTCTACCTGGATCAGTTCAAGCTACAAAAATCACAGAGTAGATGGTGCATCAAGAATCTAAAATAGGGATCAGGACATGGTATACCGACGAACAATGAATACCCGTTTGCCCGAAAAATTGCAAACGCGTTTTTTTGTGATATAAGACGTCGTCGAAAACAAAGCAGGTGCTTTTGCGAGTACAAAGAAATTTCTCTTAAAAATATACTCTGTTCATTACCATGTTTACTGTCAATTTTCTTTAGTGATGCCTTGCTAGCTATATCAAAATTAAGAGACCAGAAGTTTAAATCTTAAGTCTTAACATATCAGTTTTGTTAAAAGTTTTAAACGTGTGAGTTTAAAAAAAAACTATATCAAAATAATAATACAAAATGACACATTCATTTATGTATTAACGAGTGGTGTTGATTTGTGTTCAACATCTATCTGTATACCAAAATCGAGTCAGTCAGAAAGATTCTGAGATTGACAATTTACTTCGCAAATTTTAAAAGCCACATAATATTTTTTAACCACTAAACTAATGGTTGATTGACACGTGTAAATAATATTTTAATATATAATTATATAAATACATGTGTAATTACTTTTTTATAGCTAAGTCGTGTGAAAATTCTCAATAACATAATGGCAAGCCAACTGGCTGAATTGTCATATCATGCTTCGTTTTGACAAGTTACCCTTCAAACCCATGAATTTTCTCGGGAAGATTGAGTTTTCTGGGAGAAGAAAGTTCTTGGAAATTCGAAGATTTTGTCAAGAAGCTGGAGTACTTAATACGGACAAAGTCACGTGATGGGTCACGTGGGATTGAATTTGGAGAGAAAAAGTCTGAGAGATGGTGGGTTCTGTAAGATCATAGACGGGTTAATGGTGGGAGAATTCTTCCTATCCTTTTTTTTATATATAATTTTAAATTCATCTCTCTATATTTGATTTTTGTCTTATTTCATTTTTTTTTAAAACTAAGTACGTTAACTTTTTTTTTTTTTTCAATCTTAACCTCATTCCTTTATTCTATTTTTCTATTTTAATTATTTTTTACTAAATTTAAATAAATTAAATTTTAAAAATAAAGAAAATTGAAAAAAATAAATAAACATATATACGTTCATTCTCTTTAAAAATTAAAAAAATAAAAATATATTTTTTATATCTAAAATAGTAAACAAATTTTAAGTATAAAATGAAATATTTATAATATTATTATTTTTCTAATGTGTTTCTATGACAGTAACAAAAAATTTGAATATAAAATAAAATTTATGGTATTGTTTTCAATGCAAAAAGAATTTTAGTTAAATTTTAAAATTTATAAAATTAAAATAAATAATTTTTAATAAACTCTTTTTGAGGCATTATAAAATCATAAATATCATTCAAAAATTTAAACTAAAACGCATTTCACATTTAAAAAAAATATTATAAATATTTCATTTCATACTTAATTTTTTTTGCAATAATAGAGATAAATTTAAACACATAAAATGTATTTTCCATAAAAAATATTTTCAGTTTTACTTTTTTTCTAGTTTTTTTTTTTCAAAATTCATTTATTCTTGAACAATATGGTTTATTAAGGGTAGAAGCATTATAGAAAACATTGCTTGCAATAGCTCAGGAGTTAGTAGCGGAGTTGAATAGAAAGTTTAGAGGAGGAACTTTTTTTTAAAAAAAATTGGATATGTCTAAAACCCATGATCTCGTGGAATGACCTTTCTTGTTAAGAACTACGAGAGAGAGTTTGGTTTTAATAATCGACGGTGTGATTTGGTGCATCGATGTATTAGTAATGTTTGTTATTCTATTAAGATTCAGAGATCTTATTTTAGTTTCTTCAAATTTAGTAGGGGAGTGAGACAGAGAGATCTTTTATCTTCGTTGCTTGTTATTCTTGTCCAGCAGATTCTTTCCTTCAACCTTCATAGAGGAGATTCAGTCTGATACCATTTTACCCTATAAGATGGAAAGAGGGCATATATTGGTGTCACATCTATTTGTGCAGATAATATGCTGTTTTTTACAAGAGGTGATCAGAGGTTTCTAAGGCATATTAGAGTTTTGATTACTAAGTATGAAGAAGGTCCCGGACAATTAATCAAAACATCTAAAAATGGCTTTTGTGCTCCAAGGAGAATGACTAGGTTGAGAATGGCACGAATTCATGCATGGATCGAGTGTTCTCCACATCTGGTTCCCTTAAAATATTTGGGCGCCCCTCTTTTCACCGATAGGTTTAAACATAACTATTTTCATGATACAGAAATAAAGCTGGCTCATCGGGTAAGTGGTTCGAAAGCCAAACGACTTTCTTTTGGGGCTAAACTGACTTTGATTAAGTCAGTTCTAAATAGTATTCATGTGCATACTTTGGCGGCCATTCCTCTTCCTAATTCATCCATTAGTCGAATGGAAAAAATTTTGGCTAACTTTTTGTAGAGTGAGTTGGTGAGGCTAGACAGCACTGAGTTTCTTGGCATGTGGTGTGCAGACCATTTGAAGAAAAGGGTATGGGTATTAGGGGCCTTTTACAGGTGACGGAGGCTTTACAGGCAAAACTTGTATGGTCCTATCCTTAGGGCAATAATATGTCGGTAAAACTTGTCAAGGCAAAATATGGTGATTCGGACTTATGGGTTCAGCGACCTGTGTATAAAACCTCCTCTCATGTCTGAAAATCAATCTTTAAGCGTATTGTTTTTCTTAAAGAGTGTCGTACATGGATTGTGGGGAAATGGAATGTCTTTTTTTTGGTTAACTAACTAGCGTGGACCTCTTCTTTGCCTGCATCTTGCATTGGATAAATCTCTTACTATTCGGAAGGCTTTTTCTAATTTAGAGGAGTATATGCAATTTATTCATTCATAGTTTCATGATCAAGCGAAAGCTATTATGCTCGATCATAATGAACCAGACATGTTGGTCTTTAATCCTACCACCTCTAGAAAATTTACATCTCAGGTTTTCTAGAGGAGTGGAAGGACTGTCACCCAACAAGTTTCTTGGCATAAGAAGGTGTGGAATCCATGGATTCCTATTCGAGTTAGTAGACTTATTCTCTGTGTAGTTGTTGTCAATTTAAGGAAGAGGAATCCCTTGAAATTTTATTTATGTGATTTGATGTTGCTAAACATGGTATCATTTTACAAGGATTTTAATCTCCCAAATCAATATTCTTCTTCTGTTACAGAAGTGGATGTGTTCTACTAGTATGCAAATAGATATCTATCAGATTGCAATTTGCTGGTTTGCTTTATGGAAAATATTGAAGTGTAGATGTAGTGCACGATTTGATAATATTCCCAAGTCGGTGGATTTGGTGGTTAAACAAATTAAGTTACGATTATCTGATATGTGTATGGTATATAGACCCAAACATCCTAGTAATATATTTTGGATCTAGAAACGCCATGCTCTAAATTTGTCTCTTCTTTCATTTCGGTCTCATTGAGGTTTTTGGCTGAAAAGGAACCCTCCTCCATTTGACTTCTTTAAACTCAACACGGATGGTTCATCTATGGCTGGTTTGTGCATTGGTGGTGGAGTTATTCGCAACACTCATGGTCATCATGTTATTGCATGTTTTTCTAATTTTTATGGTGCAGAAACAAATACAAAAGGGGAGATATTAATCCTGCGAGTTGGTCTTAAATTGTGTAAAGAGTTACCACTTCGTTTGGTATGAGGAGCATCTGACTCTTCATTGGTTGTTAAGGCAATTCAGAATAAAGCCAAAAGCCTGTGGCAATATATTCATCAGTTCAGAAGATGTCAAATTCTGAAAGGAAGATGTGTTTTTAGTCATCACTGGAGAGAGCAGAATATGATAGCAGATAGATTAGCTAATAATTATAGTCATAAAAAAAAAAAAATTGTTTACAGTGATTTACCTTCAGCTATTAAACTTGCTTGTAGGCTTGATATACTTGATTTCTACAACTATAGGATATAACATTTTTTGTATTATATTTGTTATAAGGATTAGGCTTTCTTGTCTCCTCATACTATGGTTACGGTTGGCTTGTTCCCCTCACGTACTTTTTCTTTTTATTTAATAAAACTCATTAGGTTCCATCCCTGTTAGAAAAAAATAATATTTTCATTTTAATATATTCGTTTACTCCCTCCACCATATATAAGATGTCTATTGTCTTTGCCTACTTGCTTACCCTCAAAAAAAAAAAAAAAGACGAGAACATTGGATTAATACAGAGAGCCAAGTACAAGAGAAACAAAAGCCAAAGAGGCCTAAGTATCACAAAATCGCATCACAGCATGATTTAGGATAACTGGACCAAAAGGTTGCAAGAATCTGAAAAAAGTTTTTAGGTAATAAATTCTTTTGAAGATTTTGATCACACAATTAGAAGTGGAGTAGAATTATATATTTTATTTGATAATATTGTAGAGTAGCTGAGAAATTTTATATTACTTAAGAATAACTATTAATATTTATTTCATAAGAGAGAAATAGATAGAAAGAATAAAAAGAAATAGTCAAGAGAATTTTTTTTAAAAAAACTTCCGTGAAAATATTCTTCTAATTTTTTTATATATTGAACGTGATTTTCATTTCTCTTCATTGTGTTTGTCCCTCTCCTAAAAATAAATTTATAGAATATGTATTAAAATAAGTATGGTTAGTTACTCATTCAACATATTTTAAAAATTTTCAAACCCATTGATTTTGATTCATATAATTGGAATATTTAATTTTCATAATCATCCGTATTGAATTATAAATCGGAAGAGTAATAAATTATGGAAATAAATCCATCAAATAAATGTAAATGAAACCTTCCAATTATATTTTAAAAAATTTCAAACCCATTAATTTTGATTGATATAATTGGAATATTTAATTTTCATAATCATCCGTATTGAATTATAAATTGGAATTGTAATATATTGTGGAAATAAATCCATCAAATAAATTTAAATGAAACCTTCCAATTATATAAATTAATGGTTTAATGGCAAATTTTGCCCTATTTTATTGCGATTTAGTAATTTCAAACCTATAGTACTAAATTGCATAATTTGAACCCCAAAGTAGTAAATATTAGAAAAATATGATTTAAATTGTCCAATCTTAATTATGTGTCATCGTCAATCGGGTTGACCATTACTTGAAATATCAAAACAACATCAGTTTGGCATTCCACTATTAATTATGTTTTTTTTTTCAGAAAACATTTTAAAAATATTTTAAACCTCCCTAATCTTGAATATTTTTATTATATAATATTATAAACATTTAATAAATTATACAAAAAATATTTTATAATTATTTTTAACCTCCTAATTTTGAACTTTTAATTTTTTTTATAAAATGTTATTGTAAAAAAACATAATTAACAATATAAAATTTCAGGCCTTAAGAAAATATTTTATAAATTAAAATGAGCATAATTAAGGGTTGACTCCCATAATTTTATAAATTATAAAAAATATTTTTTATAAAATATTTATAATATTTTATAAAAAAATTTAAAATTAGAGGGTTAAAAATGTTTATAAAATGATTTTTTATATAATTTATAAAATATTTATTTTATAATAATATTTTTTAAAAAAAGTTCACGATTAGGGAGTTAAAAATATATTTTTAAAAAATATAATTAACAATGGAATGCTAAAATGACATAGTTTTGGTATTTTAAATGACGGTCAACTAGATTGACTATTACATATAATGAAGATTTGACAATTTAGATCACAATCACTCAATCTCCAATCTTTTGAGATTTAAATTACGTGATTTGATACTGAAATTAACAAATCGCAATAGAATGAAAACAAAATTTACAATTAAACCATAAATTAACATGTCTTTATGAATAACTACCCATAGTTACTCAATTGGTTTACTTGGAGAAGAGAGACATATGAAAATCCCATACGGATTTACGAAAAATTATAAAAATATCTCAAACTAAGCTAAAAAATATATATTTTTAGTATCCATATCTCCCATGAAGTAAAAATTTATAATTACTCTTGAAATACTCTAAAATTTCTAAGGAAAAAAAAAACCATGATCTAGTGATGCTTGATATATATGGAAATAAACTTATCGTCCCATATGAACTTTAATTCTTATTCTCTATAAATGCCACCTAGAATTTCTCTACATCATTAAAACACACACAAACATAAATTAAAATTTCTCAAATAAACGCACTATTACAAACGAAAATGGCGAGCGCTGCATTTACATTGACGTTTTTTATTGGTTTCGTAATTTATGCATCCTGTAAGTCTCCCTCATTTTATTTTTTACTTACTTTTTTCTCCTGTCTTTTTTGAATAACTATTAACAATTAAAAAAAAAACTAAACTAAACCAAACCAAAATGTTAGTGAACTATTATTCATTGACACTATTCAAAAAAACTATGAATCTTGACTTATTTCTCTTAATCACGCATACTCATATGTATATACATTGTTTATTTTACTATATAGTGCTATTTTTGTAATTTTAATTTTTTTAAAAATATATTTATTATGAAAGTTTTTGTATCATTAAACTTTGGTTTTGTTTTTATAAATATTTTTTTTCAGTCCGCAATTTTTTTTATTTCATTTGGTCTTTCTTTTTAATTTTATTTTGATCACTTTGGTCCTTGTTTTTTCTCTAAATTTTTAATTAAAAATTTTAAGGCAAAAATGGTTTAGAAAAAAAAAATTTACAAATAAGTTTTTAGCTAAAAATCCATTGACTTTGATATATTTTTTTCTTTCATTATTATAAATTTTTAGTAAATCATTTTGGTTCATCTTTTTTGTTTCATTTTGGTCACTTTAGTTATTGTTTTTTTTTCTTGATATTTTAATTAAAATTTTTAAGGCAAAAAAATATTTTTTTTAAAAAAAATTTACAAAATAATTTTTTAGCTAAGAATCCATTGATTTTTACTTTTTTTTTCCCTTACATTGTTATAACTTTTTAGTTAAAAATATAAATAAAGATAAATAAAAAAATTTTTTGATAAAAAATTATAAAAAATAATCGGTCAAATATAAATTTTGATTAAAAAAATATAAAATTGAATGAATTTTTATTCAGTTTTGATTTGATATATTTTGATAAATGCATAATATAATACAAAACATCAAATTAAAATAATTTTATGTTTTCTATCCGACTCGCGATGTAACAGGATAAAAAAACTAGTTACCACAAAAGAAAATGGAGAACACCTCATTTAAGTTAATTAGCACTCATGAGTGCTTTAGTAATTTCCATCTCTCAATTCATTTTTTCAGATTATTGAACTACTTTTCTCTCCAGCATTTTCAGGATAGCTATTAACTTGCTAAATGTTAATTTATTGATTGTAAATAACTTTTCTTTCAACCCCAAATGGTGGACAGTAGGCTTAATGGCCAAGTAGATTTACTTCCTCTCATTTTCTCCAGATTGATTTGGAGGATGCATTTTTTAAAATCATTTAAAAAAAATAATTTTGATTGACTCACAAATCGATTAAAAAATATCCGTTAAATGAAAAAAAAAATTCTTCACTTAATTTATTTTTTCATTTTCCAAAAATTGAAAGAATAAAATATTTGACAGGTTTTCTACATGGATCAGTTCAAGCTACAGAAATCACAGAAGAAATGGTGCATCAAGAATCCCCATCTAAAGTAAAGATCGTGTTATGTACTAACGATGATGAATGTATACCCTATTGCCCTAAAACTTGCAAGCGTGTTTTTTGTGATAAAAGACCAAAACAAAGCAGGTGCTTTTGCGAGAACAGTGAATTCTCTCTCAAAAATATACTCGTAGCAATGCCCTGTGTACAGTGAAGTGCCTGGCTATATCAAAATAAAATATTATGATGCAATAATATTTGGTGATGTATCTCGAATAAGATAATAATACAAATGTTCATTTATGCATCAATGGGCAATGTTGTATTTTACGTTGAATATTAACGACCTAAACCGACCATATAGAGTAAATTTTAATTTTACCTTTATAAATTCATAGGTGTTTTACTTCTATCTTTATAGTTTAAAGTTTCTTAATCTTGTCCTTCTCGTTTTTTAAAAACTCTATTGTTACCCCTAACCATGAAATAACCTACTTTTTTAAATTTCATTTTTGATTTTTTTTAGGTTTTTAATTGTTTTTATGTAAAATTGAGAGGGAAAAAATAAGAGAAAATTAAGAAAAAAAAATTCAGCTATAAGTTAGTTAGTTAATAGTAAAGGGGAAAGTTTAAATTTTTTATAAAACCATAGAGCTAGATAACATTGGAAAATTTTAAGCTATAAGAATAGAAACGGAACATTGATAAATTTATAAGGACAAATATATAATTTGACCTATTATTAAATTTGAATTAACATGATTAGTAATTTTCTTAACCTTATAATTAAATTTGAATTCACAGATATAAATTAGGTGCAGGACGTTATTTACCTGCCATTCATAAAGGGGCCTTGTGAAATTAAGGTTTTCTTTAGTCCTAAATTTAAGTTTGCAAAAATAAGAATTTTAATTGGAACAAAAAATCTTCAATTAATCACTTACTTTAATTTTTCAAAAAATTATTTAAGCTTATAGTAGTCAATTGTACTGTTAATCTGTATAAACGCAATATTTATTTGACTTACAATTATTTGGTACAATCCACAAGCTATTTGCAACCTAGGAATTGTAAAGATATATAATGAAAATATATTTGGAGCTTTTGCAATCGAAGTACTGCTAAATTCAAAAGAAGTTTAAAGAAAAATCCTTCTCATATATAAAACTGCACAATGGAGATGACTATTGGAATTAAAAAACCCAGATGATTTGAGAGAAAAAAAAAGTTTTAATTTTTAATTACATGCATAAAATATTTAATGAATTTGGAGACTTATAAACTAATAACCGATATGCTTATCTGTCAAAGACTTCATCTACTGTTGTTGTTCATCTGAAGATATGGTCTGCTACTATTATAACTAATTAGATAAGATTTTGTATATTCAATTTTGTAATTCTGTTTTCCACGTATTATTTGTAACCAGGATTCAGCTTGTAACTTTATTAGTATATAAGTTGCTCTATTTCATTCAATAAAATATATGCAAAATTCTTCGTATTCAACCTCCATTATAAACCAAGTACTTTTTTTTACTGCTCAAGTTCATATTTGCACTGTTATAATCTTTATAGTTCTTCGGCAAACCAATGATAATCTTCAGCATTTTTAAATATGATAATATGATTTTGAACTTATTTATCTGTGAAATAGATCTTGTATATGTTTCTTTAATGTTATCTAATGGCATATTTTTATGCATTATAAAAATATATAGACTGATCCAAAAATCCAATGAGTCAGGTTATAACTAAAATTTGGTTTGTAATTAAATCGATTAAAACATTCAATATTTACCTGATCAAATCCAATTGATTCAGTTAAATTTGATTGATCAGGCAAAATCTAATTGATTCGGTCAATACCAGACTGAGTGAAAAGGTTGATTAAAAAAAAAAAAAATTCTTTGTATCATATTTGAATGTTGATTTCTTTTTATCAACTATAAAAATTTTACCAACTTACGAATACCGATGTATGTATATCCATTCTTTAAATAGGTTAGCATCATACATTTATGAAAAATTTTATAATATTCAAGGAATAATTAATGATAGATACATCAGTTACTACATGAATGCATTTGAAGAAAAGAGATAAACACATAAAATTATATATGAATCCACCAAAAATGATAAAAAAATTTTCACACTCGTTCAATTTTTTTTAATTTTCTTTCACCTATTTCTCTTTTATTTTTTTGTGTCTATCTCTTTTCTCAAAGTGAATTCATGAAGTATATATCACTAATTACTCCTTTTATATTATAAAATTTCTCATACATTCATACTCATTTTTAATAAAGATACCCTTATCAAAGGACGTCAAGGACAAAAGATACTCTTGCGAAAGGTTCCCTTTAGTTTTTAATTTAAGGATATTTTCCATATTGGTCCCTATAATATTCTAAATTTTCCAAATCGGACTCAGCATCTTCGGCTTCATCTGCTGAAGATGTTCTGCACAGCCGGCGTTGGAAGAAGAACAAGGTGAAGAAAGAAGGGGAGGGGCACGCGGTGAGAAAGAAATGGAAGCAGTGTGTCAATCCACGATATTATAAAAATGATTTGGTTGCAGACTTGTTAGAATTTAATTATAAAGGCCTTTTCCAATGTTAAAGCTTAATTAGAAGACTATTTGGCTTTTTACCTTGCTTTGATGATAGATATGTATAATTAACACAACCATTCTTTAAAACACCTCGCTCTCGGAAAGAGTAACAATTGGCTTATCCATATTATACAGAATTAATATCTTCATCTGTCCTTGTATAAGATATCAATTTCTTAATGTGTATTTGTTTTTAAAAAAAACGTATTGAATTTGTTTTTATATTTTGAGATTGTTTTTAATGTATTCTTATAGTCAAAATTTTCAGTCAAATTTTAAAAATTAATCTTTATATTAGTAGACATAAATCATTTGTGTGAAATAATAAAAATAATTTTGTAAAATCATATACCATATGTAAATCATATATTTAATTTAGTCAAAAACTTTAAATAAAAGATAGATTAGAAATCAACTCAAAATATAAGAATATATTAAATGTGTTTTTTTTAAAGACATATTGAAAAATTGGTTTATTATATAAAAGCATGTGAGAGTATTAATCTTGATACGTATATATATATGGAAAACAATCCTATAGGTTGATAAATATGCCAAGACATCCCATAATTCATGTATATTTACATGCAAAAAATCCAAAAGTTTGATGTATATGCAACAAAATCCGATAGCTTGATATACATGCAAAAAAATCCAATACTTCATATAGATATATGGAAAAATATCCGATACTTCATATACGTATATGCAAAAAAATCTGATAGTTTGATATACATGCTAAAAAAGTCTGATATTTCATATATGCATAGGCAAAAATATCTATATCGTCCCAGGCGCATGAAATTTAGTAAGTCTTTCTGTCTATATAGATACTATTCCTTATTTCTCTACATCATAAAAAACACAACACTAAATTTTTTTAATAAGGAAAAAAAAATGGAAAAAGCTTCTTTGAAGTTGGCACTTGTGATTGTGTTGGTATTTTCTACAACTTGTAAGTGTTTCTTCCAAATTTTTTCCCTCTAAATTTATTGGCTACTTCTCTCTCCCATTTAATCTGCAAGGATAAGAATTGTGAAAAATTATGATATATATGTGTGGATTGGATTCATATAGATAAAAACTTTTTAACGTGTGTTTGATTTAAAAGGGATAATTATATTTGTAACGGTGGCTGTAGTGGTTATAGCCGTAATTGTATTTAGAAAAAATAAGTATTTGGTTTTACATGTAAAATTAATATTGAGTTTGCATTGAATATATATATATATAAAGTTTCTTTCATTTAATATTTTTTTTCAAATTTTCCGAACACTTAGACATATACGTACATAAGTGATATCTCATGATTGAAGGGGAAAAAAATATTTGGCAGGTTTTCTGCAGGGATCAATTCAAGCTACAAAAATCACTGAGGAAATGGCGCATCACGAATCTAAAATACTGATCAGGTTATGTGACGACGATAAAGGATGTATACCCTATTGCCCTAAAACTTGCAAACGTGTTTATTGCGATAAACGACCCGAGCCAAAACAAAGCAGGTGCTTTTGCGAGACCAGTGAATTCTCTCTGAAAAGTATGCTCTTTACAATGCCATGTGTGCAAGGTTAAAAGAAAGGTGGTTTCTTTTCTAAAGGGAGAGGGGCATCACTGCCTTATTTTGCCAGCTTAATATATATGACGGTGCCTAGCTATATCGAGATAAGATGCTATGATCATGCAAAATGATAATTGGTGTTGTATCTCTAAGAAAATAATAATACAAAATAACTCAACCATTTAAGCATTAATGTGCAGCGTTGTGATTTGTGTTAGAGATTAATAACTTGAACCTGTCATATATATTATTGCTGTTAAGGCAAAATTTTTCAAGTCTTTCTACCAAAATTTATCTGGGGGAGGACACTAAGATTCTTATAATGTTTGTTGTCGCTTAAAAAAAAGGATAAATATATATATGTGTTTTTATATAATATTCAAACTCTTTTATTTGTCCTTAGATTTTTCATTACATCCTATCTGTTTTTGAAAAAATTTAAAATGTTTATTGTATCTTTTCGATCCAATTCTCCGATCATTAATTTTTTTTGTCCAAAACATCATTTAATAAAATGCTAAAACAATAAAAAAAAATCAAAAATTAAAAAACAAAAACACTTAAAATTACATAATCTACTTTTGAAATCTTTATTTTTTTTTAAATTTCAATTAGAAGCATTTAGGTTAAAAAAATTATTTGGTTGAAAAAATTGATCAGAATGATAGATTAAACATTTCAAACACTTTCAAGAATAAATGAAGTGCAATGAGAAAACTAAGAACATATAAGAGACTTTAAGTATTATACATGGATAAATGATTATATTTACTTTAAAAAATATAAATAAAAGAACATGACTTGTCATTTCCTTAACCTTACAATTAAATTTAAAATAATAATACAAATGTTAGATGCATTTATGCATTAATGTACAATGTTTTAATTCGTGTTGAATATTAACTATTTAAACCAACCATATGGAGTAAATTTTAATTTCGCCTTTTAGATTCATTGATGTTTCACTTCTATCTTTATAGTTTAAAGTTTCTTGATGGCACCCTTAAGAACCATTAAATGGCATACTTTTTCTAATTTCGTTTTTGAGATATTTTTAGGTTTCTAATTGTTTTTATGTAAAGTTGAGATGAATAGACCAGAGAAAAAAAGAAAATGAAAAGGTTATCTTTTTGTTAGTCAGTTAGAGTAAAAGGCAAAATTGAAACTTTTTAAAAACCATAGTGATAATATTGAAAACTTTTAAGCTACAAGGATATAAAAGATTAATAAGGACAAATATAAGTATAGAAAAGATTAATAAGGACCAATATATAATTTATCCTGTTATTGTTATGGAGGCAAAATTTCAAGTCTCTCTTCCAAAATTTATTTGAGGAAGGAACTAACATTCTTATGATATTTTGTTTAACATCAATAAGGAAACATAATTTGTAATTTTCGTACGTAACCTTGCCATTAAATTTGAATTCAAAGATATGAATTAGTTGCAGGGACGGGGTGCACCCACCATTCACAAAGGGCATTATGAAAGGTTTCCTTTAGTCCTAAATTTAAGGTTATTTTCCATATCGGTCCTAAATTTAAGGTTATTTTCTTAAACTTATGATTAAATTTGAATTCAAAGATATGAATTAATTGCAGGGACGGGGTCTACCCGCCATTCACAAACGGCCTTACGAAAGGTTTCCTTTAGTCCTCAACTTAAGGATATTTCCATATTCGTCCCTATAAGACTCTAATTTTGCCAAATCAAAAAATTTCCAAATCGGACCCAGCATCTTCATCTTCATCAGCTGAAGATGTTCTCTGCAGCTAGCTGAAGTTGGAAGAAGAAGATGATGAAGAAAGAAGGGGAGGGGTGGTGAGGAAGAAAGAAAGCAGAGGGTCAATCCATGAGATTGTAAAAATGATTTGGTTACAGACTGGTTAAAATTTAATTATAAAGGCCTTATTTAATTGGCTTGTGCCTTGTTGAGAATGATAAAATCTTAGAAAATTATTGGCATTTTACCTTGCTTTGATGATAGGCATGTATAATTATCACAACCATTCTTTAAAACAATTCCGTCACGCGGCCGTGTTTCTGAGCCTCGCTCTCGGAAAGCACATTAAATGAGGACCAGCTTAGTCCTTGGGTTTTCAACAATATTATATTTATTCCCCTATGTTTGAAAATCCAACCAGTTAGTCCTTCAATTTTTGTTGAATTTTGTCTTATCTAATCCCAAATATACCGTATAGCAACAATCAAAATTCTCATATTTGTATAAGTTTTAAAAGTACACTGTTGAAAATGAAAAACTTGTTACTGGTTGGCAATGAACTACTTACAAATAGCTATAATGGTACGTGAAAATTTAAACTAGGGCTATTGATCAGAAAGGAAAGCTCTCGTTCTTTTCACTAAAATGTAATAATAATAAATAAATAAATAAAAGAGAAGCACAGTGCAGAAAATGTCTACCTTTTTCTGTTTTGAGTGAGTCAGATACATATGGAAAACAATCCTATACATTGATGTACATGCAAAGAAATCCCATATTTCATATATACATAAATGCAAAATATTCGAAAGTTTGATATATATGCAAAACATCTGATACTTCATATATGTGTATGCAAAAAATCTGATACTTCATATATGTATATGCAAAAAAATCTATATCGTATAAAATGCATTAAATTTAGTAAGTCTTTCTCTGTCTATAAATACTACTCGTTATTTCTCTACATCATAAAAAACACAACATCAAAATTTTCTAAAAAGAAAAAAATGGAGAAATCTTCTTTTAAATTGGCACTCGTGATTGTTTTGATATTTTCTACAACTTGTAAGTGTTTTTCTCGTGTCTTTTTCCTCTAAATTTATTGGTTATTTCTCTCCCGCTCAATCTGTAAAGATGATAATTATGAAAAATTATAGATTGGATTCATATAAATTAAAACTTTTTAATATGTGTTTGATTTTGAGAATAGTTAGATCTGTAAACAATGGTTATAGCCGTGATTCTATTTAAAAAAATAAGTATTTGCTTAACATGTAAAGTTAGAAATTTAGTTTGTAATATATATATATTCTTTCATTTATTTATTTTTTCAAATTTCCGAACCCTACATATATGTAAAGAAGTGATATCTTATGATTGAAAAAACAAAAATATTTGGCAGGTTTTCTACATGGATCAGTCCAAGCTGGAGAAATAACAGAGAAAGTGGTGCATCACGGATCTAAAATAATTGTCAGGACATGTAACAGCGATAGTGCATGTATTCCCTATTGCCCTAAAACTTGCAAACGTATTTTTTGTGATATAAAACCCGATCCAAAACAAAGCTTGTGCTTTTGCGAGGCCAGGGAATTCTCTCTTAGAAATATGCTCGTATCGATACCATGTATGAAAGATTAATAGAAAGGTGGCTTCTTTTCTAAAGGGAGAGGCATCACTGCCTTATTTTGCTACCTTGCATGATTTGATGGTGCCTGGCTATATCTAGATAAGGTATTACCATCATGCAAAAGAATAATTGGCTTTGTACCTCTAAGGAAATAATAATACAAAAGTCCACATCCATTTAAGCATTATTGTGCAGTGTTGTGATTTGTGTTAAGTATTAACAACTTAAACCTGTCATATTATTATTGCTTTTGAGTCAAAATTTCACGTCTTTCTACCAAAATTTATTTGGGAAGGACCCGACTATTCTTATAATATTTTGTTCTCCCATAAAAAAAAATAAAAAAAATTAAAGGAATATGACTTGTCATTTTCTTAACCTTACCATTAAATTTTCACACTGGTCCCTAAATATTGTAATTTGTCGTATGAAAAATGTTGTTTCTTTATATCGTACTTTCCCTCCTCTCAATTATTTTAACTTACCAGGCACGAAAAAGTTAGCAAATAGATTTCCCATAAAAAATATATATGTTTTGGTATAAAATATTGATATAATCAAATTAAATCTAAAACAAACGAAAAGATCAAAATCGGATTTCTTTAGTTAAGGAGAGTGTTTTAATATTAGCTGTCTATGTAATTTTTTAGATTTAATACACCTATTTTTTCCAAAATTACACAGGTTTTTCGTTAATAATTCACTCCAAAAATCATTCATTGTCAAACCAGTACAATACGACATTTTTATATACGTCCTTTTGTTTTAGAAAAATTAAATCGTAGAATATTTCCCATTAAAACAAAGAAAGTTTTTGAAACGTATCAAACCAAATTTGAAATCCAATAAAAAAAATACTTAATTCTAGTACACGCAGATTGAAGCAAGAATGCGTGATAATCGGGAAAGAGAATTGTCCCCGCCCTATTGGCCCCATCATGTCTTTTTTTTTTTTACACCCTAATAAAGATGATAGTCTAACTTGCAAGCACCAAAATTGGATCCAGTTTTTTATCCAGTCCACACCGCTCCTCTGTTGTAACTGTTTTTTAATTGTAAATAATAACAAGGACAATCAATATTCAAATGATTGTTTAAAGCAACTGCCTACTGGTTTCAAAGAAAAATTAAGAAATTAAATGGGATAATTGTATTTTGAGTATACAAACTTTTAATTTTTTTCCAATTGAATATATGAATTTGTTTTTACATTATAACTGATGACGCTTTTTTATCTTTAGAATACCAAATCATGATTTTATCATTTTTTTCTCAATTTAATATATGAATTTTATTTTTTTTAGTATATTAATTTTTTTAAAACTATCAACTAAGCACTTTTATTAATGACTTCCTTAACAAATGAGGTATTTGAATATGAAATTGAAGAGAACTTTCTCTACAATTATTTTATCATTTCAAAATTAGACTAATAATTAAAAAATATTATTTTTTAGCTATAAAATCCAAAACTAAATTCAGTTAGATTGTGCTTTTTTTTAAAAAAAATAAATCAAATGGGTTTAGGAGCAAAAATTTTAAAAAAAGATAAATTAATCTTCTTGATAAAAAAATCTCAAATTAATAGAAAAATTAAAGTTTTTGTGCTCCATTGAGATAAAAAGAGCAAAATTGTGATTTAGTGTTTTGAGGATAATGGATACATCATCGATAAATAAAAAAATTGACGAAAGTGCTCAATTGATAATTTTGAAAAAATTATATGTTTTAAAAAATAAAATAAAGTTTATATATTCGAACAAAAAAAAATTAATATACTTATAATGCAATTATTTTGAAATTAATACTCTAATATATACATAAAATTTATATATTACGAAAGGTTTCCTTTAGTCCTCAACTTAAGGTTATTTCCATATTGTGATTTGTGTTAAGTATTAACAATTTAAACCTGTCATATATATTATTTCTATTGAGGCAAAATTTCCAGTCTTTCTACCAAAATTTATATGGGGAAGGACCCTATGATTCTTATAATATTTTGTTCTCACATAAAACAAAAATCAAAAGAATATGACTTGCCATTTTCTTAGCCTTACCATTAAATTTTCACATTAATTGGTCCATAAATTATATTGTAATTTTTCGTATAAAAAATGTTTCTTTATATATGTCTTACTTTCCCTCCTCTCAATTATCTTAACTGACCAGGCACGAAAAAGTTAGCAAATAGATTAGCTTAATTATAGGGATTTGATTAGTCTAATTATAAGGATCCTAATTAGCTTAATTGTGATTAGCCTAATTATAGAGATCATGATTAATTTAATTGTAGAGATCCTTAACTTGATCTTGATTAGCTTAATTGTGATTAGCCTAATTGTAAAGATCATGATTAACTTAATTGAAGAGATCCTGCTTAGTTTAATTAGTGATCTTGACTAGCATAATTGTAAGGATCCTGATCCTGATCAGCCTAATTGTAGGAATATTTTCTTAAAACAAGGTAGTTTAAATTTTTTATTCTCAAAATAGGATAATTTTAATTTTTTCTCTCATAATGGTATGTTTTATGATACATGAACTTCATCGCATATACATATCATTAATATATATATATATATATATATGTTTGACAGGTTTTCTACATGAATCAGTTGAAGCTACAGAAATCAGGGAACAGATGGTGCATCAAGAATCTCCTTCTAAAATATACAAGACATGTAGACGCGATTTTGTGTGTTTACCCTTATGCCCTGAAAATTGCAACCAAGTTTTTTGTGATTTAAGACCCGATCCAGACCAAAACAGGTGCTTTTGCAAGTACAGTCATTATTCTCTTAAAAATATAACCCTAGCACGACCTTTTTAACCTTGAATTTTCGCCAACGGTGGCTAGCTGTTTTAAATTAAAATAATATCATATATTCTTATATAATAGATTAATTTTTTGATTTGTTCTAAAAAAATGTCTTAAATCTGTTTTTATATTTTGATATTATTTCTAATATATCATTTTGGTCTAAATTTTTGATCAAATTTCAAAGATTAATTTTCATACTAATATATATAAATCACTGGTGTCAAATAAAAAAAATAATTTTATCAAATCATATACTATGTGCAAATCACATGCTTAATTTAATTTAATTTAGTTAAAAATTTAACTAAAAAGATAGATTAGAAATCAACTTAAAATATAAAAACAGATTAGAAATTTTTTGTAAAAAAAAACATATTAAAAAATCATATAAGTAAATATGAGGGTATTAACCCAATAAAATATTATGATGCAATAATATCCGATGATGTATCTCTAATAAAATATTAACACAAAATGACACACGCATTTATGTATTATTGTGCAGTGTTGTAATTTGTGTTAGATTAACAATTTAATCCGGCAACATCTATGATTGCTATTAAGAAAAAATTTCAAGTCTTTCTTGCAAATTTTTTTTGGAAAATGATCCTAAAATTTTTATGATATTTTGTTTCGCATATAAATAAAGGAATGTGAATAGTCATGTTCTTAATCTTACTATAAAATTTGAATTCGTGGTTATAAATGACTTGGATGGAAGGCCCGCCATTCATAAAGTGGCTTTATAAAAATTTACCATAGTCCCTAAATATAAGGACGTGTTTCACATTCATCCCTAAATATTCAGATTTTTTTCCTGACCATAAATGTTTCTTTATATCTAACTTGCCCCTCTCATTTTAACTGACCAGGTGTCAAAAAAAAAAAAAAAATCAAATAGATAAAAAAAAAAGGCCTCCCTAATGCATCATATCGAGTGATGGGCAGAGTAATTTTTAAGATAAATAAGAATAGATACGAAGTATTTCAAGCTGAAGTTTTATGTGTAACAAAAGAAGAACTGCGATTCTTGCTTTTAACTTAGAGATAGAAATGATTGTCTTTGCACAATCACTCGAAGGATGCTTTTTTATCCTGTTAGAGGGTATTTTATTATATTGGGAATATATGGTTGTTCTACTTTTTTTTTCATCCAGAAAACGTTAGAGTTTGACGAATAATAAGTATTTTTATGCAAAATATAAGAAGAAACTGATGAGAAATCGTATATGATCACAAGGAGAGCTAACCAAAAGGAAAATCTTAATTTTCTTAGAATCAAATTAAGATTTAAACATATCCGCCAAATATTGGAAATGACAATAATAACTATGGCATGTGCATTATCATCAAATATGAATATATAAAGCCTCAAGATCAAATACCAACGCTGGTAAATATTAACGAGGAAAATTAGAAAAAGTTGGTCAGGTTAATTACATTTTTATTTGGTTGTGTTATTCTTGCCAACAAACGACATGAAAGGCTCTCTTTCTTTCTTTTCGTTAACGTACATGCTTGTTATTTATTGAGTGTTTGGGCTAGAAGCGTCCAGGACTTTAATTTTTTTTAAAAAAAAAAAAAAAAAACGAATGAAGGATTATCCTGGAGGATTGACGCATCGTTCTTCATGCCACCAGTAGTGGTGGTGTTGCAATTCCGTCGCTGCCTTCGGCCACTTTCAAATGACCATTTGATCCTTAAAAAAAATAAGAGCCATTGTTTTGGTTTCCACACCCAATTTGTAAACTATTTTTACATAAAAACACTCTAAATCATCACAAAGACACGTACAAACTCATTTTAAACTTTTAAATATGTTCTAATGCATCTCAGAACTTAAAAAACCAAAACCTCATCTATTTCCTGCCTTTTCTCTCCTCTCCCAACTTTTAAGGATCTTTTTGTAATTAATGAAAATAAAGTTTAGAGACCATTTAGTACAAAACTAGAACTCTAGGGATCAAAATGTCAAAAAGGCACAAAAATTTCTATTGAAAGGAATTATTTACAGATTAAAAAAAAAAAACCTAAATTCATTACAACATGAGATTAATTATAATGAAACGCCATTTTTTTTCTTTTTTTATAATATTGAGCTTGTTATCAAAACAAAATATTGTGATTCTAAATAATCATGTATCTCTCTTAAAATTATAATACAAATTAGTTACACATTAATTTATGCATAGTGCATTGTTATGATGTTGTGTCAAATGTAGAGATGATAATAAATTCAGTATAAAAAGTATATTCACCTTATCCGACCAATAAATACTCATTAAGAATATCCAATGAGCATTGAAGTGGATAAAGATAAAAAAATACAAACCCACTCATATGGTTTTAGAGTATGGATATTCACTCTTTACCCTATTAATATCCCCTATTTATTTAGATTTTTTTTATCAAGCATGCAAGGATCTAACTACATAAAATTTAAAAATTAAAGATCAAAATATTTTTTAAAAAATATGAGGACCAAAAAGTATTATGAATAAATGACCAAAATGCAAATAAAAAAAATTAAGAATAAAAATTTTTTTTATAAAAATAATAGAGAGTAAAATGAATATTTTTAATAAATTAAATTTCATAAATATTTAATGATTATTAAATAGATGGGCAACTAGTATGAGCCATTAAACTAGTTGAGGTTTTGACTTTTTCTTACAATGCCAACAGACAAAGTAAAGATTTCTCTGATAAACTTTTTAATGGGTAATAAATAAGATATTTTTTTGAAAAATAACGTAAAAAATTGAATTAATTGATCGGATATGCCATCCCTGCTTAAATGCTGTGTTAAATGCTAGCATACGAATGCCAACTTAATAAAATCCTGTATATAAGCATACAAAATTGCAAGTTATGAGGGCGCTGAAGGAAATAGGTGATACAAACGCCAAAACAGTCTCGATTCTCAAAATTGGAATGGAAAATAAGGAAGTAAACTACTAAAAGGGAACTCTTGTAGCCATTGTTGTTGGAGAAGCAACTCAAAATTTCAGCTGCTCAAGTTCTCAATGATTCGGGAGAGGGCTGAGTGGGTTCCAAAGGCCGATGACACAACCCCAACTGCAATGATCATGATACAAGCTGCACCCTACAAAAAGAACAGCAAAACATGGAAATGAGAACACGGTCGAATCTATCAACTATGCTTCAAAAAGTGCTGACAAAATTTAATGCCAGAAAAGGAAATAGAAGGAAGATGTTAAAAGCGGTTCTAAATTTGTGAATGGGGACATTAATAATCGTGGCATACCTGAAATCTTGTTGTTTTACCCCTCAAGATGCTCAGAAAGCAAGCACAAGGAAGTATCAAGGTCTGTCATGGAAATCACTTGTCAGTTAATTAAGTTCAACTAAACCACATAATTGATCTTCTGAAGAATATAGGGGAGACCAAATGGCAGCAAAACAAGACTCAGATAAGAAGCTAAATGACTAAAATGGCAGTAGAAAACTTACTACAAGCATTGTGAGCAAAGATCCAATCAATGACATGACCAAACCTATAATGAAAGAAAATGTCGATGAAATAAATTTGTAAGCAGACAAGGTATGGACTAGAAAATTGTAGGTTTAATGAAAATCAACTGGTTTTGAAAGAGACATGAAGCAAAATAGTACATCAGGTGAGAGTTAAAGGAGACTAACCGAAAAAAGGGATGCTGAGACCGACGAGTAAGGTAGAAATTACCAGTGCGGTTCTAATGCAGATTGCATACATGTGAGACTTCATGCGGTTTGATGGTATCAACTCCTCCAGACTCATTGCCACTGGAGAGATGGTTAATGCATATTTGGTAAAGGGGTTAACTACCTGCAAAAGAACAAACACTAAATGAATATCTTATAAGCCCAAATTTGAATCCTAATTCTTACCGGACAACAAAGGAAGAGAACAAACAGAACAGGTAAAATAATATTTTTACAAGAAAAACTGATGAGCATACCGTAGTCCACACAGCAATCTTTGAGGCAACCAGATCTTGGGGCAAGTTAAGAGTGAATTGAGATTCTGTTTTTTCTCCGAACATCGTGTACCCCATGTAAGCAGCTCCAGCATACAGCACAGTACAAACACTGAAGCTGCATGGTTGCGAAACCAAAGGAAGATGAAGTAAGGAATACTTGAGATCACAGGCAGCTATTTCGGAAAAAATAACCAGGGTCTTTGAGTAAACTAAAACAAGTTTCCTGCGATGAAGTAAGAAGGTTGAGCAACTTAAGTTACCATGCCAAGAGAACTGCAGGAAATCTGTTAGGTTGTGCCATGGAAGTGTAGATGTTTGGAAAGACAGCATGTCCTGAGTAACAATAACCATAGAGACCAATGGCGACAGGAAGAGTTCCAAGATTCAGTGCTGTCCCTTTGCTGTGAATGCCCACATTATCAACAAGACCAATCCAAAACAAGCACAAGACCACCAAAACCGATGCAATAACCCCACCAGCTGGAAGAAAAAGGCTGAAATTAAGAATATCTCAAAACAAGATCGCTACTTCTTTTGATACGAACGCAGATTGTCCACTTTTTCAGCCTATGACATACTAAGAAACAAATTTTCGTCAATTTGTTCCAATTTGCAGTAATTTGTGTCACAGATCGGATGATGTAGCTTGGTTGAGGAAAAAACAAAAAAGAGTAACTAAATCATTTTGACCTCCATTGGAAAATGTTTGAAATCCAAAACGGCTTAATTTCAGAACACTTACCGGAAATATAACTAAGGACACTGAGGTCTCTAAGCCAAACAGTAGGCAGAACAGCAAGGGTGGTCATCAATGCAAATAAATGGTGAGAATCCAAGTCAAATCCACCCAAACTCATATGTGCATTTGGAAATAATGAGGATAAGTTATCACTCTCCAAAATTATATATTCAACGCAACAAGCCTGCAGCATTGAAGAATATTTGGATAGGTAACATCAGCAACTCTATCAAATCATAACATCTCTGCATACTTCACTATGAATGACCTTCACAGGACTGAAAGAAAAGAGAAATGCATGGAAATATTTACCAAGGACATTACTCCACCTTAGCCTATCGTGACAGAATATTTATAGCAGCAAAAAAGTTGTTGCCTTAAGCTATTATTTGTAGTATGTAAGTTCCGCGATTGTTCATGCTAAATTAAACAGACGATCTCTTCACCATTGTATGACTAATGGTCAAATACAGATGATTTTGAGAGACATAAATATCATTATGGGACACGTTTGATTAGATCTTGGTTGTTGTAGAGGCTGAAAGCAACATCATATGAATCTTTGTTCACATTATAATTTAGGCCTTTTCGTTTGAGAAACCAAAATTTTTCAATCAATTTGCAGTAAATCAGATGCAAAAAATTATCACATTAACAGCATTAAGCAAAAAGGGAGACAAATGGGTAGCCACCCATTTGATGCAGCTGTTTGTAGATCAGGCAAGTGGTAGAGTAAATTATGCTGTCAAATAAGATCCAGAATTTTGGACCCAAAGAGTTATGTGGCCCTAACTGCGATATAGCTTCCCATCTTATTCTCTTCTAGAGGCAGTCATGCTGAAATGATTAAAACGCAGAGAGTAAATTATTCAAGAAGAGCCAGCTGTACTTACATACAATTCCACATACAGTATTATCTGCAAAAAGGAAAAACAAAGGCAAAAGAAAAACATTAGTGTATAGTCAAATTTATAAACCAGTGGCTGATAAGTTCAAAAGAAGAAGCTTTGCATATCAATTCCACATTTTAACTGAAATTTCTGCAGGAAATGGAAGTCAAGAATTAGACTTACTGAGGTGACAATGCGACCGGCTGTACCGAAGGCAGCTTGGCCAATGTCTGGGTAAGTTTCAAGTCCTGGTTCACTATCCAAGCAGTAACGCAAGAGCATCCCAGTGTAAAAAGAAAGAGCTGCAAATATGATCAATATGGATAGCCCTATCCATCCTCCTTCTTTAGCAGCATATGGAGTGGATAAAATTCCAACTCCACACAGAACATTCAAGCCTGCATATGAACCACAACATGAACACTTAGTATACAGATTTTCAAATTGCAGGGTTTACGCTTGCAGATATACAGTTAACTGTAAGTAAAAATTTACATTAACATACACCTAGAGGCTAAAAGGTTCAAGAACAAGCAGACAGATATTCTTGTTGTTTAGTTCCGAGTTTTCATGTTCACCATGTGAAACTAAGCCACCAAAATATGAAATAGAAACGTGGTTGTTTTGATGCCCATCAAGGGAGATAATAGTGAGAAGCGAACAAAGGCTCCATGCCCATAAAACCTATATTAAATTTCACAAACAACAAATCATTCCATCAGATTTCAAAGGCAGTTTTGGTTGTTTGCAGATATTGATTGCTACAGGCAATATTCTATTACTAAATTGAGTCTCTCAGACATGCTAGTCATATTAGCTGACTCATGGAGACACTAAAAAACAAGCGGACATTAATAGATGGACTGCTTAAAAACAAGCGGACACTAAAAAACGAGCTGACTCATGTAGAAACTAAACCTGGGGTCATGTAAGGAAGTGATGGTAACACAGTAATAAGACATCATCTGTAACATCATTGGTTGATGCAATCTTGGCAATTGCAGCCTTGCAGGGTCTAGGTAGTGTCAGGTTTGGTGGTCATACTAATCCTCATGTGGCAAGTGGCTCCATAGGGACAGGTAGGAAGACTGATAACAATACTGTGTTAGAGGATGAATTTAGACAGTCGTGGCCAAATCCAAGCCGTCGATTGCGTGAGGGTCACGTTATGATAGTCTGGATTTGCCCACGAGCGGATAGGCCATTGACCATAGCATTTCCCGTTGTGTTAATTTCAACTTACCGTTAACCACAGCTTGTCCATATGAGCTTTGACGAGACATGGGAAGTTCATGTGAAACCCGGGATGGTTTCTCATCCGTTTTAATGGATGATGACCTTCTTGACGGAATTGGAGGCAGTAGAGAATGAGAACTACGTCTTTGTGGTGGAAGTTGCTCATCTTCTGGTTTGTCTAGTAGAGGTTTTACCACAGTAGGTAATGATTCTGGTGTGTGTCTTCTTGTAAGCGAAGAGGAGAGAAATGAGCTGCCTAATCTTGATAGTGTAGGAGTCCCCAAAAACGTAAGATTTGGAGATGGGACACTACTGTATAAATCGATGGATTGCCTGAAACATCAGTTAACAATAGATGAGTATCTGGAGCTGGAAATAGCAGCAAATGCATATTAATGAAATAACTGGAGGACTAATGGATTTTGCTAATTATAGTTCACAGATTGATTTCAACAACATCAGATCACTACTCCATAGACAAGAAAAGGTACTATAGAGGATTAAATATTCATTTAGGTGATAAAGAAAATCATCCATTGAACCACTAAATAAGAAAACAGAATTTTTTCCAACCCTTTTGGTTCCTAATCATTATGAAATCAGCGAGTCAATGATCCCAAAATGGTCACTTTCCCTCTATGAAAGGCCCATTAAAGTTATGATTTGATTTTCATGAAATCATATTTTTCTTTGATGAATTAAACCATCAAAAAAGTCCTAGATCGAACATGACATGAAACTAACAGGGCAAAACAGAGCATAAGGAAGCAGAGTGAGAGAGATGAACCTGTAACTTTGAGGCCAAGAGGTGTTGTAAGAACCAGGTTTACTCTGCTGCCGATTATCATCGGCCAAAGAATCATCAGAATCTGTTTCATTATCTTCTTCTGCACCTTCTCCATCTCTTTCAAGTTCCTTCTCCACATCTTCTTCTTCACTTTCTATGTAAAAACTCTGTTCTGATACTGAATTCTTCATTTTTTTCCTCTTCTATTTCTCACCCCTTCAAAAATCCCAACTAAAATTCAAGCAAAATAAACAAAATATTGTAAGTTTTGAAAATTAAAAAAAAAAAAAAAGATTTCATTCAAAAGCTACAAATTGAAGTTACAAAAGAAATGCCGCAACCCTCAAATGAAATTGATCACTTCTTATCTTATAAGCTTTGGTAGGTTTGGTTTTCTAGCATTGCACTTAGCAGCTTGTTTTGGTAAGTTTGTTTGTTTGTCTGTTTTTTTTTAATGAATAAACTAAAAAGAAATCAAAATTGTCAAGGTTCATAAAATTTTGGAAACATAAATAAGAAATAAATGTCTGAAAAAGGAAACGCAGAATGACCATCGAAAAGAAATTCTAAATTTGGACATGTAAGCAAATTTGGAAAATACGAATTTGAAAGGAAATATGCTTTGAAATATTCAAAAGGAACTTCACCTTCTATCTATCTTTGGTTGTCAAGGAAATAGTAAAAAGAAAAGGCAAAAGTGAAGGAGCTTCCTTTCTATGTATGAGGTTCTATTTTCCTTTCTCTGCAGCAAAGCGTTTAACAAACTTTACAGTGAAAAGAGAGAACGAAGACAGAGTCTTGTAATGAACAAAGAATGGTTAACAAATAGAATGGAAAAGGCCTTGTCAAGTTTCCTCAATTTTCTAAGGAGCCAAACTGAAAAGGTCTTTAGAGTAAAAAAAATTCTTACGTAGAGAAAGAAAGCTTTTTGCTTCTTCTTTAATTTTCTCCTCGTTGTTGTTTTGTAATATTGCTGCAATCCCACAAAGAGCTTAAAAAAGGAGAAACGGGTGGATCTTTATTATAGTTAAAGCGTCACGAGGAAGAGAGTTTTCTCGAAACTGGGATCTGAAGAAACTAGTGCAAGACAAGAAAAATGTCTGGTTTTTCGAAACTTGGAGAGAAACAGCAACAGGAAACACACAGAAACTCAGTGTTTTCTTTTTGTTGTCTTTTGCTACTCTTTTTGTGTTTAATGCTGCATTTTTATACCTATATGGCTCTATCGCTTGTTTATAAGATCATAATTATCGCTTATATATAGGAGGCTTGACCTAAGCCGCAAGTGGTTTGCTGTTTTATAAATCTATTGTTTTTTTTCCCTTCACATGTCCATATTTCATATTAAATAAAACTAATTCAATTCAAAATAAAATGTAAAATTCTACTAAAAATAATTTAGTGATCATGAACAAAAGCTGATTCTGAGAATACCCAGAGGTTAGTATCAAAAAACTAAAAATTTACTACCTTGGTTATGATCCCGTTCCCGAGTCTGGAAAGTTGGCCTGAGAGCCCTACTTAAAACCTAAAAAAGATCAGCGTCTGTTTTTCATTTATGTCATCACGAACGATGATGATGATTGAGAACATGAACTATGAATCTGTAATTGTTTGCAGCGAATCCCGGAGGAGAAAGCTACATGTTTTTTTTTTTTTAAGGAACTCATAAGAATTTAAAGCAGATAAAATTTTGATCAAAATATTTGAGTAATTGAGAAAAATTCACAAATCTAATGAGAATTCTCATCAAGTCATTTTGTGACACGTGCACAAGAGTTATACGAGTGAAGAAAGTGAATATAGAAAGATGGAAGGATAGGATCCAATTGAAATCTTATGGAAGTTTAACGTATTTTAAGGGGGGAATTTATAGAACTCTCGAATCTTAGAGGGCTGTTTTGTAGTTTGAGTTTATCTTAAACGAGATTGCTTTAAAATTGCTTAGTAGGATCTTAATTGACGTTGAGGCAGGATTAAATTGATAAAATCATTTTAATGTAACTCTAAATCCAATTCTAATCTTGTTTACACCAAGAGTGAAAAGAGATAATAGAATGTCGTGAGTGATAATTAATTAACTTAGTTGATACAGATGTTTATTTATTTATTTTTATTTCTTTCTTTTCCCCCTGAAGAATGAGCTAGTATTGCTTAGCTTAGTTAAAAAATAGTTAAATAGATCAAATTTATTTAAAAATTAGTTCTTGAAATTCTAATATTGGGTTTAACATACCGAACTTTATTTTTTAGATTTAGTTCATATTTTAGTTGTAGTCACATAAATAGCTCATGTGATGAAAATCATTTAATAATATTATTTAGGACTCTACAAAAAAATTTAAAATTAACGTTGGGTTATTTTTTTATTTTTTAAATTTTCTATATTTTTAATATTAACGAAATAAAATAATATATTTTTCAATTTTAAAAAATTTGATTTTTTTTCCTAAAATGTACTGGATATGTTTTTTAATACGTGTGCAAAATTTCAACTCAAAGTATTAAGAATTAAAATTTTAAAGGAGATAATAGCTCAAGATAAACCTCAAAAAAAAAAAAAAATCAAAGCGATCGAATTCAAAATTCAAAAACTGATTTTTTTAAAAAAAATTCAACTTATCAAATAATCATTTTAACCTCAAAGCTATTACATGAGATTCCTAAAAGCTATTACATGAGATTTATAAATAATTTTACATTATTTTTTTTACTATCTTATTCTGATATGATATCAAAGAACCATTTCAACCTAATAGTTTAAATTATTAGATGAAATTTTAAAAATAATTTTATATTCTAACATAACTCATTTAATCTTAAAAAAGTATTTAAAAAAAAAAAGATTTTCTAAGTTTACAGGGAGGATGGCTAACCAGCAGTACATACAGCTCATTGAAACATGTTAGGACAGCTTGATATCTTAAATTTTGTGGTTAAACAATTAGTGGACAACCATGCAGCAGCAATAAGACCATTCCAGCAGAATATAGTGCGGAGAGTTTGCACAAGATCCGAAAAACAATTGCAACGATGTAATAAACATGTTCAAAGGAAGTTAAAATAAAGAAAATATAGTTCAATATTGATTGAAATTCGTTATTTTTAATTTTCTTTTCTAAATTAATAATCCCCATATGATCAAAAGGAACGATTACATTAATATAAAAATTTTATGAATATAACTATACATGCATTATTACTATGCTATAGTTCAGATCTATATTTACATATTTTATTTTATACAATTAAAGATAACCCTAGATATATAATTAATCAAGGAATAAAGCACTGTAATAAGTGGACTGATTGTGAGGATCCATTTAGGTTATGGCATTTCATTGTAAGTATAAATAATACCCAGATCATACCTTTTGACTTAATGACCTTTTTTTTTTTTTGGCACAAACAATGAACAATTGCTAAGTCTAAATTTGATGCATTTTTTTTTATGAAATTAGTTCGAGAAAAAGTGCTTCTTTTGAATTCTATAAACATCCGAAGGCAATCTCAAAGAGCAAGTTTGGCGGTTAAAAAAATTGTTTTCTTTTATTATTTTTTAAATTCAAACCTTTAAATTAGTATCAAACTGTCTTTGAGATTTCTTGAGAGCATGTATTTAAAATCTTTTGAAAAAAAATCTTAATCTTAATTTAAATAAAAACTACCTTCAAAACATTCTTAGTGTAAAATAAAATAAAATAAAAAACAAAACAAAGATATTTCTCGATACCTTTATTTATTTTCCTTTTCAATTTCTTTTGGAAGAGTACACGTACAAACAAGAACAACCAATCAATTTATTGATAAAGGACAAGGCAAGACTGATCAAATCAAACGGCTTCATTAAGCAGCATCACAAATTGATTTTATGCACATGCTTTGCTCTTTATTTTCAGGGAACATTCAGCATTGTGGATAAGATGCCTGTCCAAGTGATTTCATTCTGGATCAGATCTATTGTTTCATCATTTCCTATAGTACCTGATGAATTTCAATTTTATAGATTAGTAGAAGTTGGCTGACCATGATGTGATGACGTGTCTCTTTTTTTTTTTTGGGTGCGGATAAAGAGAATGCATGTCATGGAATGTTCTCAAATTATTCATTGAACCTAGACCCTTCTTAATTCCTTGCAACGTTTTTGTTTGTCATAGACTTTTCGGTGGCTGATTCAAATAGCTCTTGACTAACGTCTTTATTTCTTTCTTTCTTTCTTTCTTTTTTGTGATTTTAAACCGTGAAAACTCTGCACAAACAAACTTAATTTTACCGATATATATTCAATTAGTTTCTTTAATGAAATAAAATTCGAATGCCAATAATTTTAAATTTATTTAATAATTATATAATGAGAGAATGCTACCTTCCGATTATGCAATCCAAAAATTTATAGATTTTTTTATGAATATATACAAAAAAAAAAAAGGTATGAAAACCTTGTCTTTAAGTGTTCAAATTGAGGAAAAGAAAAACTCTTGAAACTTTCTTTCTTATAAATGCATTAATAGTCTAAATATGGATGATTTGTTCAAGTTTCCACGTGGAGGAAACTTAAATTGGCTAAGGATATCCATACTTTATTTGAAAATAAAAAGGCCCTCGTTAATTCATCAACTGATTACCTTTCTTAGGAATACAGGATAAACAAGAATACCAACGTTGCCATAAGCATATAAAACGTTTTGCCAGCATTTTGGCATTTGGAATCAAATTGGCATCAATCATGTGATGTCTATATGTTACCTTTCCCATTTGAATACTGCAAGTTGGGCTGGCATAAAATCAGCAATCCATCAAGAACGTGTCCTTCAAATTAAATTGCCTTGTCTCATACTTCATTTTCTGCATGAGTAAGAGACAGAGTATCATTTGATTTGCTGAAAACCAATATTATATTATAGATGTTGTCTCGTTATCAATCAATTCTCAATAAATTACGTCTATATAAAAATCATGAGCTTATCTCCTCGTCACATTGCCTGATGTTAACATTTATAGCCACATCTTGCTAGCTCATACAACACATGATGTTTGGTCCACATGCAATACTATATCAGAAAAATCCAATGAACGGGTCATATGATTGGTTACATCTCACTGTTGCTTTTGGTTCTTTCGTCTTTTTGAGAGATTAGCTCAAGCTCATTGCTTCATACTTGAGCTGGTGCTTTTTCCACCTTATCATTTT